TTGGAAAGCGTCCATTCTGTGTAGAGATGACACAGAGGAAGTCTCTCTGTGCCCAGCCCACCACCCAGTTTCGAGACGGTGCCCTCACCGTGGGAAATGCCTCCTGTATTCATGTCTCGAATCACGGTGGTTGTAAACTTCAGTGGACGGTTAATGTTTTCGTAACAGATTTTCCCCGCTGTTGGGCAATTCAGATTTTGTTTAAAAACACGAACATGGAATAGTTGTTTGCAGAAAAGGAAATGCAAGGACTCAAAGAAGGTAAGGTAAATCTTTTATTTGAGCTGAGTCAAATCAGAGATGGAGCATGTCTGCTGGAGTCAGGAGAGCCCCCCCGACAACCTCCTTGCTCAAATAATCTAAAGAAAGAGTTAATGCAGCCTACACTTAAAGCTAAGTTTCCAGCAGTGCTCTCCAAACTCTTCACGTTATTAGGTCAAACCAAACGGTAATGTATTGGACCACTCTGATTTATAAAATAGCACTTTTGTGTCACTCAGCCTAACAATTTAAAACATTTAAGGAGTCTGTTACAGGCAAGCATCCTAAAGGGCAAAGAACTAGAAGCATTCAAAGAGTAGAAACAATCCCACAGGAAAACTAGGTGGGGCTCCAGAAAAGGATGGTTGGTGTTGGGGGCTTAAAAAACATGTTAGGTTTTCAAAAATTGATTTGAATGTGGCAGTTTGTGAATCATGGATGAACTTACAAGAGCTTTATTACAACTTCCCAGAAATCTATTCACTGTGAAAACTCCAAACTCTAGTTATCAAGTAAAATAAAAATATTACCAAAACAGACGAACAGCTTGGCCAGGCTTGTTGCTTTGCTTTATTTTCAATGGTGAAGCCACTTGTAAGCAGAGAACACATTGCGGGGAGATGATCAAACCTTGAGCCTGAGCATCACCCCTGATGTGTTCTGGCAGCTGACTGGCAGTGAAAGAACAAGAAAACGCTTGTCTTAAGCTGCAGGGACAGGTTACCTAGTAACCGCTGAATGATTAAATTCTGTTCGCAGAGACTTGCTCTCTTAATTGGACAAAAAGATTTAAAGAACACAGCTGGGCAGAGATGGAAGCAATGGAAGACCATGACAGTTGCTAGTGGGCCACTAAAGGGTCACAATATGAGTGAACCTTTCATCTGCAAGAAGCAGCCAACTAAGCTACCTATGATGTCAAAATTTTGTACTCTTTTCAACCATAGAAAAATGAAAATAAGATGTGGAATGGAGCATATTAAAAAGTGCAGTGCAAACTCCGTGTGGTGTCAGAGTTCTGAGGATGATCATTTTTTTGTGGATTCTTTCCTATGACCATTTTCTAAGATTCTATGTTCAGTATCAGAATTTTATCCCTTAAGAGAACTCAACATGGTTGTTTGGGGTCAGTTTATCCTTTTCTCACTCTCTTTTGTGTACCTGCACTTATTGTCTACCTCTTAGACACATAATGCTTTCTAGAGAATTATGACCATTTCCTGTCCTTTCCTGCTTTAACAATAAAGCTGAGAAAAATCAAGTTATAGGTTGACAATAATAAAGTAATTTTTATCCATGAAGGGCTTTTGGATAATACAGTAATTTCTTCCCATGCTCAAAAAAGAACTCAGTGTGCATGTCACCAGCTATAACTGGAGAAGCTCCGCCCGGGAGTCACTTTTCAGAGTATTTCTCACTCCGTACATGAGTGAGTGAGATTCTCAGGTTTCTGTCGCCTTGGCTTCACAGCTTTTCTCACAGGGATACAGCTTTAAACTTTCCTAAAGCCCCCTCTAGTGACAAACAGCAAATTAATCCATTACTTCATAACATTCCTCAAAGCTCTGAAGTCCCACACCACCATTTAGTTATGCAGTGAATCAACAGCTAGAGTCTTTTGATGGGAGAATAAGATAGTCAGTGGCTGAATTTCCAAGCATCCTTCAGTCGCTGAGACCTAAGGGATTTTGTCCTGACCCTGAAGCCAACACGGAGTGCACACACACTATTTCATTGTACTTCTTTTACTCTGCTGTGGCAGGTACTCCTTGAAAAATGTTTCCTAAATGCCCTTTGTTTTTGTCCTTCTGAGGCTTTAAAGATCAAAGTATGCTCCTAATTAACCCAATGAATGGAAAAAGATCATCTTGGCCTTTGCCTCTCATTGTTTTTATTGCACTTATAGGATAATTTTCATTGATGGGGCTAAGCATGTCTAAGCAAATATCACTTTCAGAAATTCTCTGAATTGTGAAACTAAGGGTCATCTATAATGATATAGATTAAATGTATACATGATAATACAATTTAAAATAATATATAATAAAATATATGTTTTATGTGTTAGGCTATGTATTATGGTACATAAAAATATAGTTTTTTAAATTTATATCTCCATTTCCAAAGGGCTTAGAGCTCATCTAGTAAAATATAGGTGTAATTGAGCCATTAAAATAAGAGTAAAAGAATAAAAGCCACCTGCCTAATATAGGGAATTAAAGAGGTAAATAGAAAAATTGGCTATGAATTGTTATTGCACCTGAGCACAAATCTTAGTTTTGAGCCTTCTGTCACCAAGACAAAAAAAGAAACCCAATTATAAAAGTAAGCATTCCAGCCCAGGCCGGTGGCCCCGTAGGTGGGAGTGTCATTCTGTACACTGAAAAGTTGTGGGTTTGATGTCGGTCAAAGCACATAATACTTATGTTGCCAGTTCAGTCCCCGGCTGGGGCATGTGTGGAAAGCAGCTGATCAATGTTTCTTTCTGGCATCAATGTTTTTCTCCTCTTTTTCTCTCTCCCTTCCTCCCTAAAATCAATGAATGTATCCTCCGGTGAGGATTTTTTAAAAAGCATCGCATCTATTAGGGAGTAAAAGGTTTTCTTTCTAAAATACAGATATCAAGTGTTAGATATCGATAATAAAAATATGCTACTAGAATAATTTCTTAACGATGAGAAATTCATACTTAAATATCGAACAAAAGGTCTTCAGGAACGCTTCCCCTTTAAGACCATTGAGCCAGTAGTAGTGGTGACTCTCCCAAAGGAAGAGTGTTCCTGAGAGTTAACTCTGCCACAGGCCCATCCTAGCTGCATGCATCTGCCCATGGATCACCTCTTGGGAATAGCGACCAGAAAAGAGCTTCTCTCCTTTGTTCATACACATGGAGTGAAGGCCAAGGACAAATTAAATTGCACTTAGGAGAGTAATTCACTGCCGAAATTGGAGAGAAAAAAAATCCATTATGCACTTCATGAAAGAATTGGAACAAAATACTTAGAAATCATGAAATGCAGATGACTTCCATTGCAGTTGGATAATGTTGCCTTCAGAACCCTTTCCCATTCACTGTCCTCTCCCACTCATTTCCTATTTCAAAGAAAAACCTGCGGTCAGAAGAGGAGCTGACGTCGCTTTTGCGTGAATCCAGTCGATGTGTTGTCTCTCCCAGGGGTGCTTTGTCTTTTAAGCTTTACCTCTAACTCAATTTAACAGTTGCTTGCAGGGAGGCCTATTATATGCGAGGTTCTTTCCGATGCTAGTAGTAGAATAAAAGGCTTCATGTTTTTAAATAAGGATATGAAGTATTAGTGAGTCAGTAGGCAAGAGAATTTTTGTTCCCTAATATGTGAGTTTCTGTACCCATACCCTTTTAAATGACTTTTGCTGTTGGGGCCCAAGAAGCATCACGCACACTTCCACATTCCTCAGTTTTGGACCGAATTTTCTCCCTTCCCTAGAGTTCAGAGAACCAGAAGTTCAGGTTTTACTTTACCAAAATTTCTGGCATATTCCCTTTCCTTGACACAGGGTCCTGGCTTACTAGCTTATGCTTGGAATCCTCGGATACCCCAGTTCTTTAGAGGCAACAGTCTTAGAAGCGAGAAAACTGTTATTTGTTGAATAACTTGCTTTATTTGCCAGGCACTGTACATATTAATTCTTGCAACTACAAAGTTGTAGCATCTTTGCATTTTGAAAAGAGGCACCTGAGGTTCCGAGGTGTTTAGAAACTAATTCAAGATCTAGTGGGCAAGTAGTAGAAAACTCGCAATTAAATTCCACATATCTGGTTCCAAAGCCAATACTCTTCCCATCACAGCAGATTCTTAAACAGGGGAGGAGGGTGCTCTCTCCTTCCCCCAGCGGACATTTGGGACCTTAGGGAGACATATTTGTCACAACCAGGGGCGATGTGGGTGGGTTGCTACTGGCATCTAGTGGGTAGAGGCCTGGGATTGCATCCTGCAATGCACAGCCCGCCGCCCCGCCCCACTCCCCCCGCAAAAGCAAAAAAAAAAAAAGCATCCAGCCCCAAATGTCAGTAGAGCCTCTTTTGTGAGCCCTGCTCCCTGCCCTAATTTGATTTCCAAAATTAAACAAATTGTAAGTTAGAAACATTGTTGATGTTGGAACTGTCTTCCCTCATAAAGGAAAACAGATTGGTGCCCTAAACTCAAAAGGGAGGGGTCGGGCGGGGAGAGGGAAAGTTCAGGAAGCAGAAAGGAAACACGAACTAATTAATGTGATTAAGAGTTAAGACTCAAACATGTAGATGATTTTCATCCCCAGGATTTTCACTAATTCAAGTGTTCGTGGACTGTTTTGAAATTTAATGATTTGGAACTGGTTAAACAGTACCCTAACTTCAACCACCATTTGCGTCTGACTTTTTCCCAGCGCCCAGGGGATGGGCATGCCAGAGGAGACCACCGTCTCTCCCCGCCCCTCCCGCAGGGACAAGTTCTTCTGATGCTGGTGGCTTAGCTCCCGCCAGGTGGCGGCTCTGTGGATGGCGGGCCGGATCCCAGAACCACAGACCGGCCGCTGTGGCACTTCCCCACCACTGTCCATCCATCCTGGGTTGCTGTCCTTATTCCCAGTACCCCTTTGGGGGCGGAGCTGCAGGAGGACACGTCCTGCGCCATGACGTCACAATCCCGACACCCTCGAACCCGCCCTTAGCAACCGGCCTAGCGACGGTCCCCAGCCGCCACAGCTTTCCGCCCGCTACAGCTTGACAATCGTCTGCTGCTGGGGCTGGCCCCGCCCGGGGAAGGGGACGCAGCGTGTCTCCAGGGTGGCTGCAGGAGGATCCAAGCATGAATGGCAGCCGAAGAGGTAAAGGGCGCCTTCTCGCCCCTCGCGCTGGGCTTGGCCCTGGGCCTCTGGCCCGGGGTCTGGGGTCCGTGTCCGAATCCGAGTCCCGGCTGTGCGCGTCCACGCCGCTCCCGGTCGCTCTCCGTCCCCTGCTTAGTCTCCATTGTGGACCTGAGTGTTGCCCGGATGGAGATTGCTCTCCTTTGCGGGTTCGTGGGCACCCCTCTTGCTCAGAATTTGTCGCCCTGACTCCAGGAGGCCCTGTCCCCTGAACTCGAGGCCGTGAAGCCTTTATTAATTACCTCCATGGCTCCGGGGCACAGGAGCCAAATTTGGTGTTTGGAGTCACACCTCCCTGGGCCCCTGCTGCACTCCACAGAAGTGACCCTGTGTTTCCTCATCTCTTGTACGTGAGAGTAAAACACCCATGCCATAGAGCTCTTGAGGATTAAATGCAGATAATACATATAAAGCTGGAACATTATAAGCACTCAGTAAACATGAAATTTCCATTCTGTAAGTAGTTCCCACCTCTCAAAACTCTGTGGAAATCAGGGATTCTCTAACTTTAAAGTGCATGGAAAGCATGTTAAAATGCAGATTATGGTTCAGCAGGTCTGATAAGGGGGACTGATATTTGGCTTTTATAATAAGTTTTCAAGTGATGCAGTGTTTCTGGCTACACTTTTAGTAGCAAAGAACTAATCCATAATCGCTCTGGACCCCTGGCCTTGATCGCATGAATACCTGTGGGTCGAGTGCACATCACTGGAACAGTCGGGACCATGTAGCTAAATCTCTACAAATCGTTGGCCCAATCAAAATTATTTGCCTCTTCCCTCTCTCTGAACAAAGTGGCACTCTTTCTTCAATCCCAAGTAGGCAATCTTCAGGGAGACCCTCTCCTCCCAATTCAGTGTTGTCATGTATTTTAAAAAGTGCCTTTAAACCAAGCTGTTATATGTTCATGTAATAAGTCTTGCTTTGAATATGAGTGTGCCTTTAATTTTTCATCATTAGTCAAAATAAGTGCTAATCTGAATAGAGGAAAAAACTATCCACTGCTTAGCAGACTGCGTATCCTGACTCTTTACCAGCCCAAGTTCCTGAAATCACAAACCAACATGCTTTTGTGGTTCTCAGAAATTTTATAACAAAAACTACCATTCAGCCCTATTTCCAAATTATCTTATATTTGATCCACAAAAACATTCTGTTAGGTATTATCCTCACTGCACTGTAAATAAACACTGGAGACTAATAAACTAAGAGATCATAAATAACTTGCCACGGTCACAACTCAGATGGGGAATCTGAAACCCTCCCACCAGTGTTCTTACCACCTTGTGCTAGAGATGGGGGCCTGGCAAAGGATAGATGTAAAATTTAGAGTGTAACAGACTGAGTAAGTCCTCAAAGTTTATTGAATTATTTTAGAAATTGGGATCCTGTCAAATGTAAAATGGTTTACATTTTTATAACTTACCCAATTTAATTAGCTTCATTTTTAGGATATATAATATATATTATCTGACATAGTTATTGATTTTGAATTTTTAGAACAAGTATAATATTCAACAAATGCATGGGGTAGTCAGTTCTCTTAGGTCTTAATTATTATGATTGGTAGGGAAGCATAAATAACTTTAGCTAGGGCCAAAATACTGCACTTTAATGGAAAAGACTGCACTTTCTAAATTTCTTAAATTTTATTAAGAGATTACCTTTGATGATTTCAGAGCACAAAATATTAACACACCCAAGTCAAAAAAATTATTATTGTTCTCTTTTGTCATTTTCTTTTTGATATCACAATTTTTAGACATTCTTTTATAAGGCAAACTTTCTAGATGGTGGTTTTATACAAAGAGCACCAGCCTACAAAAAAAAAAACAATATATCTTCTTTGTAATCTCTGTGCTATTTACTAGGTAGTCTTCAGCAAATTGCCTTAACTCCCTGGGTCTTAGTTATTTGTACAATGGTAGACAAGATAATCTATAGTCTTTCCAGCTTCTCAAGGGAGAATGGCAAACTGCATTTACTCTATTATCAGTAACTTAGGGAGATGCAGAGAGAGAAGACAACCTTTCTTACAGATAACTGAAAGAAGCTTGGTAAAAAAAATTTTTTTAATCTGTTGGCCCAATAGAGACACATATCAATAACATCGGATTCCCAAACTTCTTCATTCCTGGGAAATTGTACCACAAGAAACACCTTCACCTTTCCTCATTAGAGTCCCTTCTGGCTATCGTAATGACGTCACATTGTTTAGGGAACTGGACTGCTTGCATGTACTGATGAATTTCACTCCCCTAGTGAGACCTGTGAGCTCATGGATAGGATTTTAGTCCTAATCTAGTTAGAGGATGATATTTTTTTCCTGGCCTTTGGTGTGAGGCTACTTTTTCATCCCCTTTGTATCAATTTGGGTCCAATGAGAAGATAGGAACCATAAAGTGATTTAAACAAGGGAAGCTTAAAGAACTGTTAAAATATCATAAAAGAGTAACTATAAAACATAAGAAATTTCTGTATGGTACCCAAGAGCCAAGGGAGAATTGACAAGGAAGGATAAATTTGGAAGGAGGACTTCCAAATGGACACTGTTTAGATAGGATCCAAGCAAGAGGAGGGTGAGCCTTAAGACATCTTTTAAACATTAAGTTCTGATTCTGACATTTCTATATTTGTATATGTATTTATTTTATACATAGTAAGATATCATATAATTTCTAATTTATTTGATTACCTTGTGGGAGGATTATAATTTTCTTAGAATTATTTTTAGGCTCTGGCTGGTGTGGCTCAGTGGATTGAGTGCCGGCCTGCAAACCAAAGAGTCGCAGATTCAATTCCCAGTCTAGGGCACACGTCTGAGTTGTTGGCCAGGTCCCCAGTAGGGGGCGTGGGAGAAGCAACCACACATCGATGTTTCTCTCCCTCTCTTTCTCCCTCCCTTTGCCTCTCTAAAAATAATTAAATAAAACCTTCTAAAAATTATTTTTAGGACAAACTAGCCTATAATTAACTGAAATAGTTAATACACATGTATTAGCTTAGCACCTCAGTTCTGTTGTATCTCAAAATCATTTAAATACCCAGAAGGTCAGTGGTGTACAGAATGAAGTCAGAATATATGAAATAACATAATTGATGTATTTATCATTTTACCCAGTGAAACTAACATCTCAAGGTACAGCTCTTGTGAAAATAACTTGTTTACAGGCCTGGCTGGCGTGGCTCAGTGGATTGAGCACTGGCCTGTGAACCAAAGGGTCACCAGTATGATTCCCAGTCTAGGCACATGCCTGGGTGGCGGGCCAGGTCCCCAGTTGGGGGGTGTGCAAGGGGCAACCAATTGATGTATCTCTCATACATCCATGTTTCTCTCCCTCTCTTTCTCCCTCTCTTCTTTCTCTCTAAAAATACATAAATAAAATCATTTTTAGAAAAAGAAAGTAAGTTGTTCGCTTAAAGGAGAAAACTTTTTATCAATGGCTGCAGAATTTTTGTCTGATAAATCATTTCTGGTTAGTAATATGATGGACTAAAATTTTAAACAACTCTAATATTAAAGATAAATTCGTTATTCTTTAAATGTTCAATACTGTTGCTCTGACCAGGTGGATCAATTGGTTGGAGCGCCATCCCTACACCAAAAAGTTGAGGGTTCGATCCCTGGTCCAGACGTGTCCAAGAGGCAACCTATCCGTGTTTCTCACATGAATGTTTCTTTTTCTCTCTCCACCCCCTTCCTTTCTCTCTCTAAAAATCAGTAAAAACATATTCTCAGGTGAGGGAAGAAAGTGCTTAATATTGTTGTCTTTGTGAAAATTGTGTTTCATTTATACTAATTAATTTTTTTGTTAAAAGTCAGAGCACCCTCTGTCCTTCCCAGATCTGGTCCGTCATGCCTATTTAAAGGACACTTGAGCACCAAAAGTAATGGTAAGTGAGGTACTTAAAGTGGCAAAAGGTTGTTTGGTAAAGATTGACTGTTTCCCTTATTTGTAAATTATGACATGAAAAAATTCAATCAATACTCAAACTTCATATTATTAATTATAATTAAATATTACAGGAATTCTTACGATTAATTTAGAAGTCCATTATTTCAAACTGTTACTGGGCCTTGGATGTGGACTTGGCTGCCTCCTCCTCCCTGGTGCGGCTCCAGCCCAGCTCTGCTCCTTGCTGGTGGACGACCCTGGTCTGAGTTAGGCCTTCCGAGTCAACATGGCCGTTTGCAGGTTAATAAAGGCGCAAGGCCTGACCAGGAACAGCTGTGCAGAGAAAATGCACTTTGTGTCAGGAGCCAGCCAACACAGGCCTCTTTATTCAACTGGATTTCTAGGTCTCGTGAAAGGACAAATTTTAAAGCCTTTAAAGTAAAATTTTAATGTAAACCTAAAATACATTTGTATAATTATGGTTTAAAAGTTTTAAATGTGGGTTATTAGGCACACAATTTAATGTTGTTTTTTCTTTATTTCTGTGAAAAATCTTTGGTCCTCATTCCTCCAGATGTGAAGGAAAGATCACATTTTCAGTTACCTGACTTATTTCTTTATTATACATAGAACCAGAATCAAACTTTGAAAAATAGCTTTTAACTAAAAATTTAAAACTAGATTTAAAAGATACTTACATAGAAGACCGGGATGAAGAACTATGTATAGTTTGCTAACTTTTTTTAGAGAATATATATGCAGTTATATGTAGTGGTTGTAAGTATGAGGCTGCCTTAGTCAGCATCTAAACTGCATCTTTTATCAAGCTGTGTGATCTTGAAGACCTTACATCTCTGTGCCTCGGTTGCCCTATCTATTACATGGTGATAGTGATAATTAAATGAGTTTTTACATGGAGAGAGCTGAGGGCAATGCATGCATGGTACCTATTCAGTAAATGTAGTAGAGTAGTACCAAGCTTATCATTATTGTGTATTCTTATATTATGCACAGAATTTCCCTGGAAGGGTGAATAAAAAAAGTAACAGTATTCTTTCTAGGAAGAGGGCAGGGGTCATAAAGCCACTTATATTCAATCTCTATATACTGTTTTAGTTTTTGATTATTTTTTTAACCACATGCATGTATTATTTCTCAAAAACTACTTCTAATGTTTAAGAAAGTTATGCCTGCATTTACATTTTATAATTATATATATGTGCTTGATTATTTCTAAGATTTCTTTTAAATAGTTTAAATGATGTCAAGATGTTTAATGTCATGGAATACTTCAAAAAGCATGCGTCGGCTGATTTGTAGATCTTGTTGAGGTTAGAAGTTTGCCTCTCAGAAGAGAATTTTTGCACAGGGTTTTGGAGTTTGGGATTTTTTCAAGTTCCCAGACTCCACATATTCGAGTGCTAACAGTGGCAACGTTATTTTACAGTCTGGGAAGCAGCTAAGCTTTTCTAGTTAGAAGCTTGAGAGCTGTTGATAAGAATAGTTTTATAAATATAATCATAGATTATATTCTGGATCTCTTCTCAAAAGTCTCAGGCTTGTAACACCTAGAAAGTTCAATAGCTCACCAGTTACCAGTGTGAGATCGAGGCTGGGACGCATTCAGCAGCACAGTTTGTCAGTATCTCTGGGGTTGAACTTCAGAATATTTTATAGAAATGAACTTAATAACCAGTAAATTGTTTATCTCATGAGGATTTCATATTAATTTTAAATATATAATGATTGACTATGTTTTAATTTTTAGCTTTTTGCACTGACTCCTCCTCTCTCAGACTAAGCACTCTCCACACGGTCAAGAACCACATGGCTGTTCACTATAATAAAATCCTTTCAGCCAAAGGTAAAAATGTGCACATGTGAACTTTCTGTCCCAGTTTAAACCCTTGACTTCACTTCTACTTAGAGTAAATCCATAGCAAAAATGAATACATTATATATCTGGGTTGGTGTTTAGTATAGGCACGTGGGCTGTCCAACCCACGGCTCGCAGGCTGCATGTGACCCAACACAAAAGCGTAAATTTACTTAAAATCTTTTTTTTGCTCATTGGTTTTCGCTAGTGTTTGTGTATTAAATGTGTGGCCCAAGACAACTCTTCCTCTTCCAGAGTGGCCCAGAGACGCCACAGGGTTGAACACCCCTGGTAGAGGCACCAGCTACTGTCTCTAACTTTATATACCTAGCAAATGTATGTAAAGAATGCCATTTCTGTTAACTGAAATTTGTATAGTGCCTGTGTTGTTTCTTTTTACCAGCATTATCCCTAATGTTATTTTGTGGTTAGATATTGATTTTAATATAATCAAGTTTATAATCTACTTTATTATTTTAAAATATATTAAAGAAGTTGCACAGAGAAGATGCTAACTAATCTTTTTCTTTTTTTGGTCAGCTTTACTGAGCTAAAGCTACCCACAGAAAATAAACTAACTTTAAGAATATAGTTATTTTTAGAAATACGCACATTTGTATGACTGCCGCCACAGTCGTGCTGTGAAGCAGAGGCTGGCCAGCTATAGTTCCCGGGCCCAGTCCTCCCGCCACCTGTTTTTGTGCAGCTTGTGAACTAAGAATGGTACTTGTATTTTTCGACGGTTGGAAAAAGTCCAAAGAAGAATATTTGTATCGTGAAAGTTACATGAAATGCAAATTTCACTGTCCATCCACAAACACAGTCGTGTCCCTTCTTTTCCGCGCTGTCTGGAGTGGGTTTTGCACTCACAGAGTTGGCTCGCTGCTGCACAGACCGCATCCCCCCCGCACCTGCACAAAGCCTGGAGCAGTTCCTTTGCAGAAAACGGTGCTGATCCCTGCTGCAGAGCATCCCGTCACCCTGAAAGCTCCCCCAAGGCTTTTGCTGTCAGCTTCTTCACCGCCATCCCTGGCAACCACTGATCTGCGGTCTGACTATAGTTGTACCTTGTCCAGAATGTCATATAAATGGGGTCACACAGTATGTGTCATTTGGGGCCTGGCTTCTTTCAGTTAGCTAACACTTTTGAGACTAATCCGTGTCTCTGTAAGAGTGTTTATTCCTTTTTATTGCTAAGGTAGCATTCCATATAAAGAAATACACCACAATTTATTGATTTACCAGTAGGTGGACGTTTGGTTTATTTTGACTCACTTTTGACCATTAGGAATAAAGCTGCTATAAACATTCACATACAGTCTTTGAACATACACTTCTATTTCCCTGGATAAACTTATTTACTAGGAGTGGAATTGTGGGCTAATATGGTAAGTGTATTTTAATTAAATAAGAAACTGCTGAACTGTTTTCTAGAGTATACCGTTTTAAATTTCTATTGCTTCCATATCCTCACCAGCATTTGATAGGGTTTTACTTTGTATTTCCCCAGTGCCTAATGATGTTAAACAACTTTTCTTGTGCTTATCTGCCATGTGTATATTTTGTTTGGTAAAATAGCTGCTTAAATCTTTCACCCATTTTTAAAAATCGGTGGTTTGTCTTCATAGTATGAAGTTGTGAGAGTGTTTCTGAAATATAAGTCCTACAACAGATACCTGTTTTGCAAATATTTTCTCCGGGTCTGTAACTTGTCTTTTCATTTTCTTTTTTAAGTTTTTATTTGAAATAATTTCAGACTTATAGAAAAGTTGTCAAAGTAGTAGAAAGTCACAAAAACTCTTCACCCAGCTTTCCCCAATGTTAAAAATCTTATATAATCCTATAACAATGATTAAAACCAGGAAATTAATATCGGCATAATGCTATTAACTACAGACCTTATTTGAATTTCGCCAGTTTTTCACTAATATATTTTTTCTTTTTCCCATTTGAAAGGCTAAAGGTTTTAAATTTTAGTTCATATTTTAGGACATTTTAAGTGTTTGAAAATCTAAAGAGAAGTATTTAGAGACATAAGTCAAAATCAGCTTTTCAAGTTTAAAATAGTTTATGCTTTTTATATCCTCTTTAAGTAACCTGACCCTTCTCTTAGATCACTAAGATCTTCTTATGTGTTTTCTTCTATCACTATAAGCTTTAGCTCCTAAATTTAAGGTTGTGATTCATTTTGAGCTAATTTTTGCATATGATATGATATAATGATCAATTTTTTTTGCCTCTGAGTAACCAAATATAACCAGTACTGTTTGTTGAAGAGATGTTCTTTCCCTATTGAATTACCTTAGTACTTCTTGAAAGACAATTTTCCATATGTGTGGGCCTATTTCTGGACTTACTCTCCAGTTTTATTGTTTTACATGTATATCTTTATTATAATACTACACGGCCTTAATTACAATAGCATTACAGGAAGTCTTCAAATCAGATTGTGTGGGTTCTGCAATTTTGCCTTTTCTCCCCAAGCTTGTTTTGGGATTCCAAGTACAAGTATGTTGAGAGCCTGATACAGGTGGGTTAGGTCAGTGATGCTCTCTATGCGTTTATTTTCCAGCCTTTCTTCACTGTGTTTTGTTTTGAATAGATTATATTGCTGTTTTTAAGTTCACTGATATTTTCTTTTGTAGTATCTAGTGAGCTGTTAATCCCAACCAGTGTACTTTTCTATCAAGCATATTATATTTTTCATCTTTAGGAGTACCATAAAAGTGAAAACAAGGAACTGCAGGTTCTGGAGCTTTTTATGATTTCCATATGCAGTATTTGTTGTCATTTATAAATATTAAGAATATCATTAAACAACTGATTTTCTTCATCTTCTTTCAGCTGTGGTAGACTGCTCGGTTCCACTCAGCGTGAGTGCCAGCATCAAATGTAAGTAATTTCTGACACACTGCCCTTTAAAAATTTGTGGTGAACTACACATGACATAAATGGACCATCTTAACCACTGTGAGTCTACAGTGCAGTGGCATTAGGAACATCCATATTGTGGGACAACCATCACCACCACCCGTGTCGGTAGTTCTCCCGCTCTCCTGCCGAACTGCAGAGCCACCTGTTAACCATAATGCCCCCTGCGCCCCGTCCAGAAGTGCCACCATTTCTGTCTCTGAGTGTCTCTGCATAGGTGTCTGTGTGAGTGGCACCATCCAGTGCTTTTCTTCCTCTGCCTGGCTTACGTGCTTAGCGTCACATCCTCAAGGTTCATCCGTGTCGTAACATAGGTCAGAATTTCCTTCATTTTTACAGTTGAATAATATTCCATTGTATGTATATACCATATTTTCTTTATATAGTCATAAGTCAGTGGACATTTGGGTTGTTTCCACCTTTTGGTTGTCTTAAATAACCTTTTGCAGACACGGATGTACAGATATCTCTTTGAGACCCTGCTTTCATTTCTTCTGGATATACAAGAAGTGAGATTGCTGTATCATGTTGTGATTTTATTTTTAACTTTCTGAGAAACCACCATAGTGTTATCTATAGTAGCTCAGTTTATATTCCCATTTATAATGGTGTTCAAGCAGTCCAATTTCTCCACATCCTCCCCAACACTTGTTTTTTTTTATAGTGGCTGGGCTAATGGGTGTTAACATATTAGCCCTTTGAAGAAGCATATTCTAACCTATAAATATTACCCATAAATAAAAGTGGCTTGTATTGCATTTCTAAGATTATGAACTTAGAAATGAACCCAGACTTTGCCACTAAATTGCCATGTGACTTTGGATAAATTTTTAACGTCTCTGGATTTCATGTTTCCTACATATAAAAATTTGGGTAATACTAAAAGGCTTGCCCAGGTATATCCTAAAAGCCTAACTAATAATAAACCCGGAAGTTACATGTATTTAAAAAGCCATATTGACATATGATATTATGGAATCGTATTATATATACCCTTTGACTAAATATTCCAATTTTTAGAAATCTGTACCAAGGAAAGAATCAATTTGCAATCGATTCCATGAAATTTGCAATTCCTATTTAAAAATATTCTCAAAGATACCACTTAAGGCCCTTGTTCGAGTTCAAGAAACTTGAAAGTAGCAAAGAACGTGAGTATCACAGCCTGCTTATCTTATACAAGTCATAATATTATAAACTTTAAATTTAGTGTTTTCTTAAGTTTCTATTTTAATTTAATTGTTTATAGTTTAATTGAGAAAGACTTTCCACAATAAAAGATAATTATCAACCCAAGGAAGTGCATGCTAAATGGTGAAGGAATCAGAGCCCAGCCAGGGAAATGCCCATCAGGTAAGTACAGTCTAGGAGGGGTCCCAGGCAGCAGGTGCGGCTGGACACATCTCTTCTTGTCTGTCTGCTTAGTGGGGGAGAGAGGACTCAGGCTCAGCCAGTCACCAGGAGCTGCCATTCAGAGCACGGTGTCTCTCAGCCACGTGCCTGGCACTGGGAGTTCTCTGCTTGTGTTCCTTTTATGTTTGCGACAAGCCTTAGAGTTGGGACTTGAATGTGTATTTTTAAAGTCCATTTGAGCCCAGCACACAAGTTAGGGGGGCAAGTCATTTTACTCTTATGTCCTCTTTTGTAAAATGAAAGGTAATTACGTAATCTCTAGGGACCCTTCCAGATTTTTATTTTTGTGCCTTACAGGTTTTTCTTCTCTATCATATTAGTAACTTTTTATTGCACACAAAACTGGTTCAATATTTACATACTTAAAAAATCTGAGTCATTGGAATTCGTATGATTTCACCCAATTGTCATTAGATCAGATAATCTCCTTCAACTAGGATTACTGCTAAATGGAAAGCTTTTTCTAAATTTTCATACTGAAGTTACCTGAACAACAGGAAATTAACTTATTTCTTACTATTTAGAAATAAGATTATTTCTTCTCCTTTAGGTTGTGTAGTAAAAAGCCTGCATGTATTAATCCTCTTAACCAAACTCTTGGATTTAAAATCCAAATCTACCAATTTATTCAGGCATTTTGTATAATACTTAGGTAACTAGTTTATTCATTGATTAATTCACCAAACATTTATTGGGCCTACTATGTGCTAGACACTGTTCTAAGGGATTGAACTAAACAGGTGAACAAAACAATATCACACTTATTTATGTCCTAGCCTATCTGTCAGTATTTTATCCCCTTTTAATTACTAAATATAAGGATAATACCACATTTTGTAAAAGTTATGTTCATCAGTTGCTCAACACTTGCATTGTTTCTGATTTTTGGTTATTATGAACACTGGTCATAGGAAAATTCAGATACAAGTCTTTTATGGAGATAATGTTTGCATTTCTCTTGGGTATTAGGTATATACCTAAGAATGCAATTGCTAGGTCAGAAGGTAAAATTATATTTAACTTTTTTCTTAATCCTCACTCAAGGACATGTTTTACTGATTTTAGAAGGAGAGGAAGGGAGAGATGTGAAAGACAAAGATCAGTCATTGCCTCTTATACCTGCCCCGACTGGGAATCAAACCCGCAACCTTTTGGTGTATGGGTGACGCTTCAACCAATGTGGCCACCGGACCAGGGCTATGTTTAACTTTTTAAGAAACTGCCAGACTGTTTTCAAGGTGGCTGTGCCATTTGACATTCCCACCTCCAACATGTTAGGATTTCAATGATTCCATGTCCTTGCTAGCACTTGATGCTGAGTTATAGCTCCCATTTGGTTATAGCCATTCTAGTGGGTATAAAGTGGCATCTCACTGTGGTTCTGATTTGCATTTCCCTTGTAATTCATGATGGAGAGCATTTTTTTCATATGTTCATTGTTCATTTGTATACCTTTGGGAGAATATTCAAATCTTTTGCTCTTATTTTAATTGGGTTATTTGTCTCATTGAATTGTATATTATTTATATATTTTGTATACAAGTCCTTTATTAGATGTGTGGTTTGTTAATATTTTCCCCTATCTGTGACTTCACTTTTTACTTTCTTCAGTATGTGTCTTTTTTCATTTTGATTAAGTCTAATTCACCTTTTTTTAAAATGCTTTTGATATGGTATTTAAGAAATCTTTGCCTAACCCAGAGTCTTGAAGATTTACCCCTATGTTTTCTCTAAGAGTTTTACAGTGTAAGCCTTACATTTAGGTCTGCAATCCATTTGGAGCTGTTTTTGTGTGGTGTTGGTATGAGGAGGCTTTACACAAATGCATTGGTTGGACATATTTAGTGACATGCAGGTATTCAATATCTGAGAACTTTTATTTTATCATATTTTTTCTCTCTTGTTTTACTTACTGGTAAGATAAGAGAACTGAGAAAGTTCTATTCATTCCCTCCACAAACATCATCTGCTACAATTTAGTTAACACATTCCTGAAGCAAGTATTTCTGGATAGAAAAAGCTGAAAATGATAGATAAATACTTTTATTTTAGTATGTTTCTAAGTGTTTTAATAATTATAATGCAGACTTTAGATATCCATATAAATTACTTTAGTTTGTTTTTTCAGCCTGTAAAAATTATTATAAATTCTGATTCAAATTGGGGTGATTTGAAACTTGAAATTTAAGTTGAGATAGTTCCTTTTAAAAAAATATATGTTAAAGTTTTAATTTTATAGGAAAATACAAGTCATTCTACTTTTATTTAACTCTGAAATGACTTGTCTTTTATCTCACCATTTTCATTCTGTACACTGAATCTTTAATATTGACTCAGCAGCTGAATTTAAAGCAAACTAAAGTGTGAAAACACTTTCTTCATTTGTATTTTCAAAGGAGTAGCAGTTAAGAAAAACAGAAATCAGATGTCCTGATTGAAAATGTTTTGAGCCCCTGGCCTGGTAACTCAGGTGATTAAAGCATCGTCCCCACACACCTCAGTTGCAGGTTTGATCCCCAGCCAGGACACATACAAAAATCAACCACTGAATGCATAAATAAGTGGAATAACAAATCGGCTGGCGTGTCTTTCTCTCTCAAATCAATACATTTTTAAAAAACTTAACAAAAAGGAAACATTTTTAATTTAATATCATTTTTAAAGTCATATAAAACTTAAAATTGTTTTATCATAGCATATGATGGTGTTGACAATAATATTTCGTCTGGTGAAAGTCTAAAGCCCGAATTCAGACTCTGCAGTTGGTGACCACAGAGTCGCAGACAACACGGGCCGACAGCTCTAACCTCCGTGTCTCTCTCTTCATCTGCTAGGAGTTGCTTCTCAACCTCTTAGGTTTGGCCCATGTGTCACTTCTTGTTGTGCTCTCTAGGTAATCAATCTAAAGTTTTTATAAACTCAGTATTTTAGCTTTGCTTTATGCAGAAAAGTACGTGGGTTTTTACTTACATATTGGTAGTGTAAACAGTTTTAGTAAAGGAAAAAAAGGTGTGCTCCATTTGTCTTCCAAGACCAAAAAATTAATTTTTCTCTTTTATTCTACATTTCAAAAGATTTGTTTTCCCCATCAGATGCAGACCAACAACGAAGAGAGAAACTCAAAAAGGAATTAGCACAATGTGAAAGGGAGTTGAAATTAACTAAAACTACAGGGCAGACCCATTCTAAAAATAATTCCAAGGCATTATTTAACACTCTACAAAAGGTAAGGTGGTATTTTTACCTTTGAAAGCAGATATTTCTCAGCTCCCTTATCAGTGGTATCACCCGACTTTGGTAACTCATTTCCTATAGGTCAGAGCCTCGATAAACTTTTCCTGTAAAGAACCAGATAGTAACTCTTTTTGGCATCTCAAGCCACAAAGTCTCTGTCACAACTGTTTGCCATTGGAAAGCAGCCATGGATAAATGGATAATAGAAAAATGAATTGGCCTAGCTGTGTTTCAGTAAAACTTTTATTAACAAAAGACAGTAGGCCAGATTTAGCCTGTAAGCTGTAGTTTGCTGACCCCTTGCTGTGGGTCTTCAGTGAGATCCTTTAACATCTGATCAAGTAAGTTCTCTCCTATTGCTAGTTTGCTAAGAGGATATCTTTCCTTTCCCTTGAATATAATATTCATGTTAATTTTATCAAATGGTTTTTTTGCATTTTTTGAAATAAGGGTATGATTTCTCTTTCTAATCTGTTAATGTAGTGAATTACAACCGAGTTTCTAATATTTACCTTTGCATCCTTGCTGTGAACACAACTCTGTCATTACCTTTTTTATACATCACTGGGCATAGTTGCTGACACTTTGCTTAGGGTTCTACCATCTGTATTTATTATTGATGTTAACCTGTCATTTTTTTTTCTACTGTGTCAGGATATGCGAGCACACAAAATAAATTGGGCACTGTTTCCTCTTTTTCTAAGCTATAATTTCTATAAGTTTGGAATAATGATTCCTTGAATTTGGTGGAACCCAACATTAAAATTATTATTAAGGCCTAGAGTTTTCTTTGAGAGAAAATTTTTGACTACTGACTCAATTTTTGAAATCCTTATGTAACTATTTTTGTTACTTATTATATATATAATCAATACACATATGACACTGTCTTTATCATCTAAATGTTCAAAGTTTGGGCATAGACTTAATCATAGTATTCTCTACTCCCTCTTGAATATGTGTTGTTGCCCCTTTTTATTCCTAATGCTATTTTAAATTTCTGTCTTCATTCTTGGGTATTTTCGCCAAAGATTTGTCAATTTTATCTTTTTAAAGGGCACACTTTTTACTTCATTAATCATCTCTATTATATTTGTCTACTGTTTTGTTAATGTCCACAGTTATCATTATTGTCTTCTTTAGCTTTTTTTTTTTAGTTTATTTTGACTTATTTTTAACCTCACTTTTATAGTGTAACCGTTTTCAAGGCTATAATTTTTCCTCCAAGTTCTACTTTACCTGCACCCCATATGTTTTCCTTTGTGGCATTTTTATTATAGCTCAATTCAAAATATTATATAATTTCAATTATAATTTATTCTTTAACCTTGGAATCATTTAGAGGTATTTCTTAATCTCTAATTTCTCCTAGTTTTCTTTTTGTTACGGTTTTCCAGTCTACTGTATGATCAGGGAATGTCTGTGTGGCAACCACTTCTTGTTGACTTGTTTTATGGCCCAGTAGGTGGACAGTTTTTTTTTTAATTCACTATGTCATTGTGTGTGTAAAAGTAAATTATATTCTATAGTTGTTTTGCCCAGTATTTAATATATAGTACATTCATTAGATTAAACTTTGTATCATTGAGATGTTCAAATCCTACTGATTTTTGTCTGATTAATTTATTATTTATTAACAGAAACCTTCCACATAATTGAATGCTTAGCTTTTCTTCCAAAATGTAATACTACCAATTTTTGCTTTATATATTTTGAATCTATTTACATACAGATTTAGAGATGACATATTTTCTTGGTGAATCAAACCTTTTATCACTGTGCTTTGAACTTCTTTACCTTAATGCTACTTGTATAATTTTTCTGATATTGATGTAATTAAACCATCTTTCTTCCAGTTATCATTCCTTTGGTATATATATTTTTTCATTTTTTAATTAAGGTTTTTATTTATTTTTAGACAGAGGGGAAGCGGGAGAGAAAGAGAGGGAGAGAAACATCAATGTGTGGTTGCCTCTTGCATACTCCCCAGGAATGTGTCCTGACCGGAGACCTGGCCTGCAGCCGGCATGTTCCCTGACTGAGAATTGAACTGGATACCCTTTGGTTTGCAGACCAGCACTCATTCCACTGAGCCACACTAGCCAGGGCTCTTTTTCCATTTTTTAATTCTAATGTTTAAGGTAGGACCTAAAGTTTTAGGTGGGTCAGGTTATTCACTCTGATAATTATTGTCTCTTAACTTGAGCATTTAGTATGTTTTTATTTCTGCCTTCTGATCTTGTACTGTCTGTTCGACTGACATCTGTAACAATCCTCTCCTGAATGCAGGCAGGGCCTCTAACTTGCTTTCAGTGCAAATTGCATTGAACTGTGAGGATGAGGACATGAAAGTGGTCAGATTACCTACCACCAAAATTTCTTGTTCCACTGACATACAACTGATTAACCCTTTTCTGATTTTAGAACTTGACAGTGCTATTCAGATTTTCGTGAATTTACCAATGTGTTATACATTTTTCTGTGAAAATCATATGTATCCCAGCTTTCTGATATTTATGGCTAAAGGAAATTATATAACTTCAAAAAGGCAGCTTGACACAGTTGATTTCATACTGTGTTCTGGTGGATTCCAAGGAAGGAAAAGTAGGATACGCGGTAGGGACTGCAAGACACAAAAGTGCAGGAAAGTTTCACGCCTTCTGGCAGCTCAGCGGCAGTTTTCACAGCCCGTGCCAGACGAATGGGAATGTACGTTTGCCTTTAGAGGCTCCCTTTAGTGTTTCATTTTGTTCATTCAATAACCGTTGCTGATCAGAGTTCTCTTACAGGCACTGTGATACCTTATGCATTTCTGCCTGCTCTGATCTTGGTTTTCACTCGACCTCTAAGTGTAAACAATTCCTGTGATTATTGTTTAATAGCCCTAAAGGGCTTTCATGTCATGGTCAGAAATTTCTTCCCAGGGAGCCAGTCTCTTCTGGTAAGTGAGCTGCAGTAATGAGTGTAGATTGGGAGTACTTTTTAAAACTAACATATTAGAGTCATTAATTAAACAATACCCTCATGACTCAGACTTTAATGCCAAAATAGTTACTTGCTTACTGAGTAGTTCTGCCTTGGATTTGGAGTAGGGTTAGAAAGCACCGGAAAGGGAATGTGCTCTCTGCGGCAGTAGTCACCACACCCAGTGTCCTGCAGTCTCCTTGCTTAGACAAATCAGTGCTTAGGTTATCTGACTCATTCACTGCCGGGAAAGGGGTTAAAATCAGTTTAAAACTCCTGGTGGTGTGAAACATCTAAAAATATAGGATTTTCAAATGACTTCTTTAAAATAGATAATATGGCCCTGGCTGGTGTAGCTCAGTGGATTAGGCACAGCCCTGAGAACCAAAAGGTTGCTGGTTCGGTTCCCAGTCAGGGCACGTGCCTGGGTTGTGGGCCTAGTCCCCAGGAGGGAGCATTTGAGAGGCAACCACACATTGATATTCCTCTCCCTCTCTTTCTCCTTTCCTTCCCCACTCTCTAAAAATAAATAAAATCATTAAAAATAAATAAAAAAGATAATATGGCCCTGGCTGGTGTGGCCCAGTGGATGGAGCGCCAGGCTGCAAACCAAAGGGTCACGAGTTCAATTCCCAGTCAGGGCCAGGTGCCCCAGCAGGAGGCGTTTGAGAGGCAACCACTCATTGATGTTTCTCTCCCTCTCTCTCCTCCTTCCTCTCTCTCTAAAAGTAAATAAATAAAATCTTTTAAAAAATAGTATGATGTAATTAGTGGTGAAGAGCATAGGCTCAGCCTGGGTTCAAATGTGGGAGACCCTGTGCCTGAATTTCTTTTATAAAGTAGAAGTAATAACTGTACCACCACCGGAAGTTGATGTATTAAATGAGTTGTACATGTAAAGCAATTAGAACAGTACCTTGTGCAGAGTTACCATTCTGTGCTCAATAGTTACAGTGGCAGGAGTTCTCATCATTCCTCCCTTACTCTGCTCCCTGGTAAGAACAGCACCTTGTACAGGGAAGCACCTGGCTCCTCCCTCCCTCCCTCCATTTGTTTTTCACCCCATGAGCTAATAGGACACACAGAACTGGACACATCCTCCCCATTTTCACCTCAGTTTTTGTAACTTCCCTCTGCTGAATAAAGGGCCTCAGTTCTGTAAAGGATACACAGTTGCCCATAAAGGTCTGGAATCATAGACAAGGCTTTTGGGGCATCTAATCTGTAAAAGAATAAAATATGTGTTTTCAGACTTGATACATACCATATAGAAATGGTTCTTCCAAGGTTAATGCACTCCCCAAAATGGAGCAAACACCTTCCCTTTCAAAGACTTTCCCTCTCACGAGTTGAACTTGAGGAAACGTATGTGAACTTTTTATGGAATAAGTATTTCTTAATGGTACTTAAAATACCAGTTACTTAAATCAGGGGTGTCTGTGTACATTGTGAGGAGAAGTTCCTTTTCCTTTCTTCAAAGCCTTGAAGTTACAGAGCAGCTGCTGGCACAGAGAGCAGCAGGAGGGCCTTAGTGACAAAAGGGGACAGCCTTAATGACAACTGTGGTTGGGAAAGGGCTCACAGTTGGTTTTGGAAACTTGACACCAGTCAAGATCTCAAATATAGGTGTATGTCATTAATCATCTTTTAGCTTCAGAAAGAAATAATTGCTATTCTATTTAGAATTCTATTTCTACTTTCATATATTAATACTTCAAAAACTTGAATAGAACTTTATATACAAGGCTAACATCTTTAGGAACATGTAAGTTAACTTTGTAGACTCCGGAGGCAAGCATTTTGGATGTTTATGAATTTGCAAATGTAACTGATGACTATCAAACCCAATGTTCGTAGCTTGCAGAAGAACCACAAAATGAAGATGACGCATTGATCATAAAAGTGAATGGATACTCATCCTTTGCAAAGTCACCAGTGACTTCTTCAGAGAGACTGAACCTAAGTGCACCTAAATCCAACGAAGCCCTCACAAACGGCGCTGAGAAGACACCATCCAGCGCAGACCACCTCTCCGCGCCCAGGAGAACGTGCTCTGGAACCTCGGCTGGCGGGGGGCCCAGGAGCTCGTTCCCAAATGCCAGCCGGTTTCAGTTAGGTTTCTCAAAAGCACCCAGTGGGGACATTTTGGATAAACATTCTAATCTCTTTTCTAACAGACAGTTGCCATTCACTCCACGCACTCTGAAAACGGAAGCAAAGTCTTTCCTGTCACAGTATCGATACTACACACCTGCCAAAAGGAAAAAGGGTTTTTCAAACCTGCGGATAGACGTCGAGACCCAGACTGAGTTCAGCAGGTACGGCACAGCAGCAGCCAATGTTAAGTCCTCCAGGGTGTTGTAGAAATTGAACAATATTCTTTACGTGATGTCATGTAGTTTATCTGCCTTTTGAATGGAATGTTGTTAGTGTAGCTTTTCCTTTTACATGTACCTCTTACAACTGTCAGAATAATTGTTGAAAAACCAAATAGCTATTAAACTTGTCGAGCTCCTCATATACATGAATGTGACATATTTTAATTCATGTACCATGAATTAAGCATATTTTAAACATGGTACTAGAACTTCTCTGTGTTTTTAAATATACTTCCAGAGAATCCTTAAAATATGTCATCAGATAACACTTGGGTGATATGTCTATTGCTTTATGATAAAAGTGGCAAAACAGTGGGTCAAAGAGGAGGGAGAAGCAACCGCCCCTGTGCCCCCTCCCTGCAGACATTCACCCCCAGTCCTGTGCAGGAACAGCCCACAGGGGTAATGTAGACACCTGGGATCAGGGCTGAAAGCGAAGTAGGATCTGCCATAATGGTGGTTTCCTCCGTGGTTGGCGCCTGCGCAGAACGAACCTGCAGTGAGAGTGGGCGTGGCTGCAGGAGAAGCAAGCCCGTAAAGTGCTGAGTGTACGCTGACTTGTGACTGGTTATTCTGGGTCGCATAAACAAGTATTTATTAGGCACTAGGTTTCAGTTGTTCTGGAAAGTGAAAAACAAGTTATGACTAGTATGTTTTCCTCTGGGCAAATATAAGAGGTACAGAAATATCAGGGGAGTCTGCATACATTTAATCAAAGAATTAAGGAATTGAATCTATAATGGAACGTGTCAAGCGAGTGAGAAATGAGGAAACCAGTAGATCATACACTTTTCTGATTATACGTATGACAGCTTTTGAAGATAATAGTTCCCATTTCACTAGTCCTGTTCTGCGCAACTGAAATTTAGCTGCCATCCCAAAATGGAAAAAGCGGCATCGGTAATCCAAACCACCTATTTCCTGATTGTGTAATTAGAAATAACACAGTTTCTAAGAATAGGTGGATTTCATCTCTATGTTTGAGTTTATTTTTTCTTGACATTAAAGCTCATTATCATAATATTTGAATTTTGAAAGATTAACTATATCTCTTTAATGTTACAGCTTTAAACCCGAGTTTGAGACAGTTGAGACTAAGGACTTCACAAACTCAGAAGTGGACATAAAACAGGTAATAGAAATGAGGTCTCTGCTCCCCATTGGATTTATAGCTGCTTTGACTTAATGGAATAGAGGTAGCTGTTTGGCTTGGGAAGAGTCATCTCTTGGTGACACTCCTTGCGAATGACATAGGCAGTAAAGAGGTTTGCCTGTTCCCCCCTGTGAATGGCCACATGGATCCTGCCGGTTTGGGAAACCATGTGGTATTAGCATCTCTTCCAGGTGGTTTGTTGACTGGCTGTTGATGGATGGATGGATGGATGACTAAAATACCTTAAATGTTGTTTTCAGAGATGTAGCCTTGGGTTACTAAAGAAGCCAGAAAAGGAGTGTAGCCCTGGCTGGTGTGGCTCAGTGGGCTGAGTGCAGGCATGTGAACAGAAAGGTTGCCAGTTCAGTTCCCAGTCAGGGCTCATGCCTGGGTTGAGGGCCACCCTGGTCAGCATGAGAGACAGCTGATCAATGTATGTCTCACACACTGATGTTTCTCTACCTCTCTTTCTCCCTTTCTCTTTCTCTAAATACAAATAAATTTGTGTAGAAGCATTTTAATTTTTATGCCTATATATCTTTAAAGAACTGCCACTGATTATGTTATTGAAAATGATATATTTTATAAGACTGGATGGGTACATCATTCTTTTAATGTTTGCTTTTACTTTTTCAGTGTTTATATTTTGAATGATTAGCAATTATTTTTATTTGGGGGTATTTGAACTTGTCTTCCAATTTAAATTTATTGTTTGTTGAAAAGTTTGTCTATTAAAATGTCAAACAAGGATTAAGGGACAGAATACAAGCATATTCAACTCTCCTCTTCCCTTCTGAAAACAGAGAGAGGATCTAAGGTTTCCATGTCAGCTGTGAATGAATGGCTGCTTGACACAGGGCCCTGCCACTGAAAGCCCAAGGACCAGTCACTTATCCTCTGAGAGCTGAGTTTCCACATCAAAGGAAAACTAATTAACATGCAGGGTCAATGGAAGGAACAGATGTAGGGAAAGTGCCCAGCCCAATCTGGTATCAAAGAGTGATGGCTCTGACTAGCTTGAGATTCAGGAAAAGAGTTAGCTCTGTAGGTAACTAAATAAACTAAAGCAGAGTAAATCCATCTTTATGACAACTTGCTCCAAATGTTCTTCTGTAAGCCCGTATGGAAATGGTGTGTCGCCTTAGTCTGTAATTATTATCAGCAGCCTCTCTACCTGAGGAAGCTAGTCGAGTATTAAATGGGCAGTAGACCCTCATTTTTACAGCACTTTTGAAACTGTAAAGCCCTATACAGAAATGTGCATTTAAAGAGAAAATCTTAAAATGCAAGCAAGTGCTTGGCGGAGTATGTGACCCTAGCAAGGAATTAGAGCCACCAGCTGTGTGTTGGTGAGTGTCACTGCTCATACTGCCACAGCCACCCCTGCTTCTGTGTGCTTGGCATGTTGGCACCGGGGACAGAGTGGCTCTTTGAATGTCTACGGTATTTTTCTCAAGTTTCCCTAAAATGGACATATTTGTTTTATTTTCTCTTGATACGTTTATTTGTGGTGATTTCTTAATGTCATTTAAAATGTCTCTCATTAAAATATAAGAAGTTGTTTTATCTGACGTTAAATAAGTTTAAGAAGAAAGCTCTGATTTGATGGAAAATATATTCTGAAACATCCCTTTCATAATGTGTCTCTCACTTTTGTCTACTGGAGACCTCTGCTCTCCAACCTCTACTTTTTTCCAATTTGCTGTTTTGCTTAATTTCTGCTTTTACAGTATTTTTGAAGGAAAATAAAGGTTTATCCTTGTCATTATATCCCCAGGCACCTAACTGTATGACATATAGAACCAAAGCAAATGTAAGTCCTTCATCTTTAAAAGGGAGCGGCCTGCCAGGGGACCAGCTGGGAAATGGCGTTCTTCAGTGTCCCCGCCCAAGGTGAGCAGCAGGGGGTGCTGCGGTCCCTGCAGCCATCAGTCTGCCTGGGTCCATGGAGCAGACGGGGGCGTGTGCAACTCGGGAGCGTGTGCAACTCGGGAGCGTGTGCAACTCGGGAGCACTGTTTACTTACACCCCGGTGTTACACAGTTCCCCTCGCAGGGTTGGCTTTGCTAAGGAAATTTTACCAGGTAGGTACTCAATAAAAGTTTAAATGAATTCATGTCGGTAACTTATTAATAAAGGAAGAAGGGACAGTGGCTTATGTTGTTTGCCATCTCGATTCGTGTGAAAAAGAACCTTCCCTGAGACGAACCCTCTGCCAGCGATGCCAACTAATTTATTTGGCACAAATGTAAACTTACATGGCACATGAACAACTCACCATTTGAAGATTCATAATTTGTGATTTAAATATTCACCATATGCCGGTGCTTGGTCTACCCATGCTGTGTAGAGGCAGTTTTTAAAAACTACTCATCATGTCTGGTGAGTATGAAATACTGTGCCTAAATTTTTTTAAAAAAAGATTAGCCTTGTAGTATAGCACGCAGAAAATGCCCTGGATAGTTTCAGGTAGGTGTCAAATGCCTTTCTGATGTCAGAGACTGGATATGAGATGAAGGTGGAGCACGAAAGAAAGGTCTGGAGAGTAAAAAGAGGGCAAGAACGAAGTGGTAGGGAGGAGCGGGTGGGAAGGCGGGCCCACCCCGGCCCAGCTCCCGCTCAGGCCCCGCCCAGGGAGCACGGCTGCAAAGTGGCAGGGCTTGCGGCTTCCGGTCTTGAATTTCATGGCGCTTCTAGCTTAAGATTTATGTGCTACTCTGCAATGATGTAAAGAATCACCTTCAGAAAGGGATATTTATCTTTGCTAGTAGTTTCCATCTAAAAGAAGTGAAATAGTGTACTATTATAATTGAGTGTACCTTAATAAAAAGCTTTGGAGTTAGCCAATGACGACATAACTGAATGACAAAATTTCTCATCATGACCAGCTTAAAAATTTTTTTCACAGGGAAGTATCTCTTTTCAGCACTATTTATATGTTACAGTGTTATTATTTACACTGGGTAAATGCCTAGTGCAGTTGTTTAAAGGATCATGAATTTGTATTAGAACAATAGGTAAAAAAAAAAACCAAAAAAAAAAAAAAAACCCTGTGTTAACACTTACTGGGCTTCCTGTCCACTGGTGAACTCATTAATAAGCAAGAAAGGTGATACCTACCAAACAGACAGGGTCTTTCTGAAGATTATACTAGATCATGGATATGCAACATTCTATTACTAATACATAGTATTACTAACACTTACATATGGCAACCACTGTTCGAATATTTACTTTTCTCCTTTCAGGGCCGTGGTCCAGTGTCCTCTGCAGCCTCCTTCAAGGAGAAAAGTCTACTCTGAGTAAGATCTTTCGCAGCTTTCTATGTTGCTCGTGCAAATCAAGAGTTAGGAATCAAAAAACAAACAAACAAAAAAAAAGAGTTAGGAATCATACAAATGGTTATCAAACAATTAGGATTGAACACTAATCTCTCTTACAAACAGCTTTGGGGTTCAATCATGTAACAGAATTTTCTGAAATTATCCATCACTTTGTCTTTATGTCCGGCATAAAGACATAATTTGTCCCTAAGTTAACAATACTTGTTTTTTAATCGTTAGTACCCATAATTCTTATATATTCTTATGAGTAAAAATAATAGTTTTCAAGACATTCAGGCTTTTAGTTACTCAGGACAGCCTTCCAGGAGATTTCTAACCTCACCAGTTCTTTGCAGATACTGTTTTTTTAGGTTTTGCTGTTTTAGTTAAGCTGAATTTTTTTTTTTTAGGGAAACTCCTCTATAGCATTGGGCAAAAGTAGGTTTACATTTGGGAGTACGCGAACGGTTTGTTGTCATGTTATTATTTATTAATTTTGTGTTATTTTCCATGCGGACCACGGTGAACCTATTTTCGCCAACCCCTATACTTCTGTATTTTCATTGTTCTCAAACTTGTCATTTAAATACAAGGACTGAAGCAGTTTGAAATTTTAACTTCTTATACATTTTAATCTTCTCTTATCTGATTTGCTAATTAATTCCTCCCTAATACTTATTCAATAATTATTTATACTTAATAAAAGCTACTCACATTTTCTAGCAATTCTCATTCAGCTCATCAAAATCAAACTTGTAACAGTATCCTGACATTTTTGTAGTAGCTACTAAACTGTAGTTATCTCATAAGATAATGTAAGAAGGAAGTATGTCCAAGTAATTAAAAATACTTCAACAGAACAAAACTCACAAAAGCCGAACTCATGAGGGAGAGGCCGGTGTAAAAGGAAAGAGGTTTCAGTCTGGGAGAATGGCAGGCCCTGTCCCAAAGCCCATCTATCTCCTCAGCAAGACCAGGGTAAAGCCAGTGTGAGCAGAGATACTGCTCCGGTGTAAAGCATAGTCCTTCGGAGCTCACAGCGGCTGCTGAGTGGTCATATCCACAACCAGGCAGCGTAGCTGGTTCCTGGCTGCTGTTCATTTCAGGCTCCCCCCCTGGAACCTGCGTGGTCATGGGCCGTGTGGCCACTCGGGCCACAAGGTCCTGTGCTCCCGGGGGAGAGCGCACGAACGCACTGGCGAGTGCACTACCAGGTCGGCAAGATGGAGAGAGACAGAGCCAAGGCTGGTCTCTGTTTTGTTCTAATTCCTGCTAATTTTTCACTACTGGGTGGAACTCAGACGCCTGTGAAATTTTACTCTATCTGGGAGTATTTTCTCATCTTTAATATGTATCGTTGCATAATTTCAGAAAGTTGACATGCTTTATAATATTCCTCTTAATAATGTGAGACATGTCCATTTGTAATAAATCATAGAGTTCTAATTAAGTATTCCTGTGCCCTATATTCTCACAGTAAGTGACGAGGAATTTTTATGCTGTGTATTGCTTTGCCTTCCCAGTGAAGAAGAACTATTGTACCTGAGTTTCATTGAAGATGTAACAAATGAGATTTTGAACCTTGGCTTATTTTCCAACAGGTTAGATCTTTTCAAATAATATATGGCAGTCGATGAGTACATTAAATACTCTTTAAAGTTATTTCCACATATTAGGAAATAAAGAACTATATTGCTTTCTTGGGGGACCATGTGTTTATAATTGATATCAATTTGTATAGACTGTTTAATTCATAGGCTAGGCAGACTCACAGTTTGGAGTAATTATAGAAAAAATAGAGCTTTTATTCATTTAAATACTGTTATATTTCTTGCTTATAATAGACTAGGAAAATAAAATTTTTGCTTATCTGCAAAGATCCATAATCCAGTTTGCTATTTGAAACTATGGTGAGAATCAAAAGCAAGTATTTTGGTTACAACCATTACTAATAAAGTGAGTACTAAGTAAAAGCTAGGTTTGCATGCTATATAAATTAGGGGTGTCAAACTCATTTTCACCAGGGGCCAATCTCTTGGTTGCCTTCAAAGGGCCGAATGTAATTTTAGGACTGTACACATGTAACTACTCCTTAACTAGGGGCAAGGAGCGCAGTGCTGCCACCGGGCAGAAACAAGGGGCCAGGCCAGATAAAACCAGGTGGAGGACCGGATTCGGCCCACAGGCCTTGCGTTTGCCACCTGTGCTATAAGTGAAATGGGAAGTTTGCAAAACCAGATTAGGTATTGGATATCAAAGGAAACTGTGTCCTGAAACAGCTGGAACAGTTATTTCTCTAAAATTCATTGGGCACTGAGACAGACTTCTTGTTATGCAGTATAAGATGCCATTATGTACCCTGAATGCATAGGAAATTGCCTGGGAGTGAATATTCCCGAACATCAACAGTCATTGTAAAATGTAGGTATGGATTTCTTGGGCTTTTAAAAAAGTGTTACATTATTCAGAACCACTAACTATAAAGTTGGCTCATAACTTTATTGTAATAACAAATGGCAACAAAGGAAATAGGATGTTTTTTAAGAAACCTATTGATACATTCATGTGACAGAAGACAAGTGTGGTGTAGCTGAAAGAAGAAACTCGGAGCCAGAAACATTTGGGTTAACTTCTCTTAATGGCTTCTGACCTTAGGGGAGAGGAAATCATTTTCATAGAGGTACAGTTTTCTCATCTTTAAAATGTTTTTACAGTACCTTTCTCTCCCATATTGGTCATGATTAGAGGTACAATTATTATTATTATTATGTGCCTAACACTTAGTGGTGCTTAAGAAGTGATCATTTTTAGGTTATTATCTGGATTTACCACCAGTGGACTATTTTTCAAGTATACTTTAGGAAGCATTGCAAAATAACTCTTTATAAAAGAGTTGTCTTTAGAGTTTGGTTTGGGGGCAGATTGTAAGAGAAGGAAGGGAGGCTCATCACAGACATATAAGTAGCAGTCAGTCTTTCGGAAACACTGGCATCCGTCACGTTAACTTAAACACATGGTGGACGCCGCACTAGCTTCCATATTGGAGAACCTGACAGAACAGGAAAGAATTGGTCTTCAACTTTGGAAAGAAAGAGTCATGTAAAAAAATTTTCCAGCCTGTAGTAGTTCAATTATTGCATGGATATTTTGCATTTAGTTGATTTTCTGGTTGAAACATTAACATTTTTATTTACCATTTGTAGGTCTTTAGAACGACTGTTTGACCGACATGTGAGACAAAATAAACACCATTTGGAGGAGGTTTGTCTTTCCCAAGAACTTCATTAGAACAATTCTAAGAGAGAAGGAATTTCGAAGGTTCCCCATCCCCTCAAAGAATGCATCAAAAGCCCGTGCTCTCCCCCCTGGTCCTCTGTGCACCATGTAGGGTGGGGTGGAGAGAAGTGTGGGTCCCGCTGAGGGCAGCAGCACCACAGACAAAAGTCAGTCCATGTAGCTAAATTGAATACAGTTACTGTCTTCTCTCGTAATCCTAGGAGAAAATGTGCCACCTGCTGCATGTCCTAAAGGTGAATTTAGGCTGCACATCGGAGGAAAACTCGGGAAAGCTGGAGGACGCTCACACGCTGGCTTTACTTGGTTTGGAAAAGGATGCGCGTGCAGAACAAAACGAACAGGACGCCTCGATCCAGCAGGAACGTCAGGAATACCGGAAAGCTCTGGACATGCTGCTGTCCTCGCCCAGGGAGGAGAAGGAGGTGTTCTCGTCCAACGAGTTCTTCCTACCTGTCCACAAATCCAAGTATTCGGAAGGGGTTATCGTTCAGCAGGTGGGCGATGAAACAGATCTGGGACCCTCAATTTGGGATGAGAAGAATCCAAGTATTTCAGATAGCTTAACAGACCAGGAAACCTCAGTGACTGTCATCGAGGGTGACAGTGACACTGAAAAGGCTGTGCCTTCAAGTGAACTGTGTTGCCTGAGCACAGCACTCGCCCCGGCCGACCAGCTCTGCAGCGTCAGCAGCAACAGTGAGGACGACACGGGGCGGCCAGCTCTCAAAATCATGGAAATGGGCACCAAGGACCACCCTTTGGATGTGTGATCGTTAATAAATCTCCCAAATGCCCAGTAATTCAATGTTCCTTTTCCTCTTTTTTCCTTTTACATACAAGTATTTTTCTGTATTCATTTTCCATGCTGTATAATAAATTACCATAAATTTAGCAGCCAAAAAAACCCACATGTATTACTTTTATTGCACCATTTCTGTAGATCAGGTCTGCGGACAGCTTACCGGGTCCTCTGCTCCGGGCTTCCCGGGGCTACTGCCCCGGTGTCGTCGGCCCTCACCTCCCTTAACTTGACCGGGAAGAACCTGCTTCCAAGCCTTGTCAGGTTGTTGGCCAAATTTCTTTCCTTGGAGTAACAGAGCTGAAAACTTCAGCTTCTTGCTCTCAGCTCGCGAAGCTGCCCGCCATTCCCGGCCACTTCGCCTTCTCCACAGGCAGCTCACAACACAGCTGCTTGCTTCTTCGGAGTCGCAGGAATGGCTTTGCATCACCTCCAACACACTGTTTTGGGGAGAAGCAAGTCACCGGTGTCACCTGCTCTTATATTGTAGAAGGGCGTGACTGCCAGAAGGTAAGAATCACAGGTCACCTCAGGATCTGTCGGCCACGATTTCTAAGGTGTTTTTTTCAGGAGAACATAATTTACCCAGACAGGAGAGGTTTGGTCGGCATGGATCTTGAGACATTGAGTCCAGTCTACAGTATCATTTTTTGCTATCTCAAACCTCAAGGCACTTCTAGATACCAGCGAGCTAATGCCACCTGTCAGCTACCTGGAAATGTAGCCATTCTTCCGAGGGCGGACGTTCTGGCAGACGCCTTCCCCTTACAGCTCATGAATGCTGTGTGTGTCTTGGCAGCCTCGTCTCTAGTTATGTCTTTTCAACCACTTAATTGTTGTAATTGAATATTTGAGTGCCTGTTATACACAGTTTTGTGCTCAGGGACTGAGGAGAATGAAAAAAGGTGAAACGGAATAATGGTCCCAATGTCCTAGAAACTTAGTGATGGCTTCCAAGTGTCCCATTCTCTAAGGCAGGCTTTTTATGCTGCCCTGCCCACATCAGTGTTTCCCAGAAGGTGGTGCATGCCACCGGAGGTACTAGAGCCGGTGACACAGAGGACAGGGCCATGTCACTTGTGGGAGGCTGATCATCACTACTGTGCTCAGGATTCAGGCTCCGGGACAGACAGCAAAGTACAGCGTGGAGGGGCTGTGCACCCAGCCCACATCCCCCATGTCTTGTGCCCCATGTCACCCTGCAGCAGCCATTCCTCGGCCCCCAATGGCCCCTCGGGGCTCACGCCTGGAGCTCTCCTTAACCCTCTGTGAAACCCCTCCTTTCCCCACCTTGCAATGCTCTGGAACCTCCTCCAGTATCTCCAACCCTACCCTTGGCTCCCAGCCTGGGTCTCCCCATCAAGCAGCCTTCACCCCTCCATCCGCTTCCTGGCCTTGGTCCTTCCCTCAGCCCACAGGGCTCCTTTCTTCAGTCCCAGCCTCCCTCTTTGACAAACCCCTCACCTCCTTGTCCAGGCTAGGACCTCACTCACTGCCCTGGGAGCTGCCCACCATAGAGGGAGCTGCCATCTTGCTTAAGGCATTCCCAGTACCTACCTTCTTCCCACCTCCCTGCCCTCCAGGCGAAGCCCGAGACCTACTTCTGCCTGCCCTGCTTTGACAGGTTCGCCTTCTCCATCCCCCAGCTCAGGATGCAGCCCTGTCTCCAGGGTCATGACCTTTCCCAACTTCTGTACCTGTTAGGGTATTTTTGTTGTCATCCTCAGGTCTCCCCTTAGGATTAAGTTTAAAAAGATGAGTCAGGGCCCTGGCTGGCGTAGCTCAGTGGATTGAGCGCGGGCCTGCGAACCAGACAATCACGGTTCGATTCCCAGTCAGGGCACATGCCAGGGTTGCAGGCAGGTTCCCTGCAGGCCAATTCCCAGCAGGGGATGCACGAAAGGCAACCATACATTGATGTTTCTCTCCCTCTCTCCTTCCCTTCCCCTCTAAAGATAAATAAATAAAATCTTTAAAAAAAAAAAAAAAAAAAAAGATGAGTCAGTTGAAAGAAGTGTCAAAAGTGGTTCTTGGATGTGGCAAAGTTGTGTAAAGGCAGACAGCGAATGGTAAGTTTGAGAAACACTGGCTTCGACTCCAAGCATCATCCTAACTAGCTCCCCCCCCCGCCCCCCCCCCTCCTGCTGCCTTCTCCTGCAGCCCATCCTCAGCGCTGCCTTTTGGGCCAGTTGGCCTGGGTCTGATTCTTACCAGCCGCGACGCCAAGCTGGGTTGCAGAGCCTCTGTGCTTCCCAGTTTGCTGAGTGGGGGTAATTACAGGGCCTTCCACACAGGCTGCAGCAACTAATGCTCGGCTGCATGAGAACTGAATGCCAGCCGCTACCATTATTTTAAAGCAGACCGTGCCAACCCCTTCTTTAAACATAAACACACTTTCAGTTTCCTCTTGCTGAAAAGGTAAAGTACGGGCCCTTTTGCGTCTTTTCAGTCACTCTCCCAGGCACCCCACGTGTCTCTCACATCTCATCGCTGGCGCCTAGACCGGCAGAGGTCCTCCCTTTCTGCCTGCATGTGCCTGGTCTGCTCGGAGTATCATTTCCCCTCTGCTGCTCCCTTTCCTTAAATAGTGTTTTATTTTTTAATTACAGTTTACATTCAGTATTGTTTTTGTATTAGTTTAAGGGGTACAGCATAATGATTAGACAATCATATACTTTACAAAGCATTGCCCCTGGTATTTCCGGTACCCATCTGGCACCGTACAGTTATATACAATATTATTGACCGTACTCCCTATGCAGTGCTTTACATCCCCTTGTATTGGGACCACCAATCTACTTCCCAATCCCGTCACCTTTCTCACCCCGCCCCCAACACCCTGTTCTCTGCCCGCTGCCCTCTTGGGTCCCCACTGCCATCCCACACTGCACATAGTAACACTGAAACCTCGAGTGACTCTCCCTGCTGTCCCACCCTCTCTGGGATCTGGGGTGTTTCATCTACGAAGGAATGACAGCATTGTTCACAGGCCCAGTTTGTCTCCTGCCTAGACTATGGGCATCTCAGGAGGAAGAACTTCCTTCTCGGGCCCCCAGGTCCTTGTCTGCTTGAGAATGAACGTGTCTGTTCTCGTTTGAGGGGGAGGGGAGGCTTAGCTACAGACAAAGTTGTGGGGAAAACAGGACGGAAGCTGCCTCTTCTGTTTACACTCAGAAAAGACAAATTCTCCAAGTGCTAGGGAAAATGTAGCAAATGACAAAGTTCCTGAGAAGCCTTACGTAAAAACTCACTTTTTCCCCCCAGTGAAGCCAATCAGAAAAGATCAGAGCAACTGTTAGGGGGCAAGATGATAACTTGCCAAGTGAGTTAATTAGCTGTATGGTCACCAATGAATTACTTTTCCCTGGGCCTGTTTAAGAGTTTGGACTAGATGAGGCAAAGATTTGTTTTAGTTAATTCTCCAGGTCTTCAGAAAGTGAAACTGAAATAACTGACATCCAGCAGCAGAAACACCCTCTCATTTTCCCTCGAGCTGCTACTGTATCATCCTGGGAAGCAACCTGCTAAACTGATTCACATTTCATATTCACCTGGTTCTTCCACAATGTTAGAAGCAGGTGGGTTTACCGTCCAGATTTTCTGAGAGAAAATATATACTGTTGTATTGCTTTCTATGGCTGCTGTAACAAGTTACCACAAACACAGTGACTTGAAAACAAATGTTTGTTATCTTACCGTTTCACAAGTCAGAAATCCTAAAAATCAAAACGTTGCCAGGGCTGCATTCTTCTTGGAGGCTCCGGGCGAGAAAACGTTCCTCACCTTGTCCAGCACGGAGAGGCCAAGGGGCCGACTGCATTCCCTCGCTGCGGCCCCTCCCTCCGCCTTCCAGGCCAGCTGCGTAGCATCCGTCATCACACCTCACTGTGGTCCCCTGCCTCCCTCTTACGAAGATCCTCGTGATGCCTTTGGGCTCACCTGCACACACCAGGACAAGCACCCCATGTCAAGAACCATAGTCACACCTGCCAAGTCCCTTCTGCCACGTAAGATGACATTCACAACTTCAGGGACACGGGCTTCTCCGGGGGTCCATCATCTAGCCTCTACCACAACCGCACAAATCATCAACCGAATAAAAATTCCCTAAATAAACTCTAGTGCAGGGGTGTCCAACACACAGCTCGCACGCAGCCAAGGATGGCTATGCATGTGGGCCAACACAAAATCCTAACTTTGCTTAAAACCCTTTTCTTGTTCATCAGTTTTCGTTAAGTGTTTGTGTATTTAATGTGTGGCCCAGAGACACCAGAAGGTTGGACACCCCTGCTGCCTATTGTAGCTTGGCTGTTTAAGGAGTCGCAAGTTAAGATCTGCACTGAACATCTACTGCTTATTAAGTACTGAGGCTGTGGCCCTCACACTTCACCAGAACCACCTGGAGAACTTGTTAAGGTTGCTTTCTGGGCCGCATTCCCATAGCTTCTGATTAGAAATTTCCAGATCTGCAAAGGGCCTCAAAGTTTGCATTTCTAGTAAGTTCCCAGTGCTGCTATTGCTGGTTGAGAAACGACCCCATCAAAAAACAAAGTGGACATTCAACAAATAACGTCAAGTTCCAGTGCAGGGATGGGAGCGGGAGGAGCTCCGGTGACTGGCTAGTGAGTACGTGAACTTCACTCTTCAAACGTATTAATTGTTCCACAAAGTCCCTAGTGAAGCTGGAGTGACTGGCTTCTGTGGGGACGCGTGATGACAGGTTGGCGACTACTAACAGAAGCATCTGTTATTAGCCCATTATTTTTTAAAAACCCAGTGGGGAAAAAAGACTAATTCTATGCCTCTTTGCAGTAAGATCTAGAATGAAAAAAAGAGGTGAAATGGCTTTAACTGCACTATTGTACTCACACACAAATCGTATCTTGCTCCAATATTTACTTTTATGGCAAAATAGACTAATATGTTCATTTCACATATATTATACTCAGTCGTTTAAACTTATTTGCCCATTAAATGTACATACTTTCACAAACCAGTGACAGTTTAGAAGAATTAAGCTCTTCCGATTATACATTTTTACATTATTGATCATCAGACAATAGCACATAAAAATGCTTTTTAAACTATAAGATAATACTAGACAACTATTTATAGTACCATTTCAAAAAGGTAGAATTCCCAGTGCATTGCTTGAATTATAGGAAAACTTTCTAAGAAAATGTATTTATATAAATATGCTCCAAATTTGGGGTTTGTTAGGCCTATTAAATCATATTAACCTCTGAATTTTTATTTAAAAAGACTTGCTATCTAAATGCTCTGCTAAATTTATTATGTGTAGCATTTGGATTGCTTCAGCTGTTGGCAACTCAGAAATATACAACAAATTTCTGGTTTATTAGAGTAATTCTTCATCTGAACTAAACAGCATCATTCTATTCAGAATCTCTCCGTCTATTAAACACAACAGAGTGAAACACTGAGGGGTTTTTATAGGAAAATATTTAACATTTGCATGATAAAAATGTTTACATTGTGATATAAAAATTACTGGAGAACACAGTAAAAAGGAAAAATATATCTCAATGGCTCAATACTCAATCTTTTGAGAAAGGTTTGACTGTGTACCCAGGTTCCTTAAAAGTTCTAATATATTAATAAATATTTCTACCTCATTTTCAGTGTGTTAGAAATTGAGTATACTCATAATTACATAACAGCTCAATTCTACACCAAGAAATTAAGTTGCTTACTTTTAATATATAACTGGGAAAAAAGCTAATATGGAGATACTCTGATACTAACAGAAAATTTTCAAAAACATTAAGAAACATCCCCATATAGTGACTACTTTCTCTATTATGCCACAAAACCAAACTGTGCCAATGAAGCCCATCAAAGCTCTACCAATCTCCAAGTTGTTACAAGTTACAGTATTTCACCTGCTTTCTTCCTTTCACCTTTTTGTTTAACTCATGTGGGTTTAAGAGTTTTGTACTATTTTTCACGTTGTGTTTATTTACATCTGTTCTGGAAATAAGTTTGTCACCTCTAGAGAACACGCCTTTTCCAGGCTCTTTTGGACCGAACCACTATGGAGCAGGTATTTTTCTAGTAAAACTTCAAAACCATTGGATCCTTTCAAGAGACTTAACTCTGAATTACCACTCTTTAATAACTATTACTATAGAATAATCAACAAAGACTTGTCTCATTCCACGGCCCGACAATTTTAAGTGATTTCTAGTAAACCAGGATAAAAAGGTTGCAGTCCCTCTGCATTTATGACAGCAGTCTCGCCTGCAATATTTGCACTTCTGTGAAAAATGAGTGACTGTGCTTCTATTTCCCATACATTTGTTCACTTTTTCTCAGTTGATAAATGAGCAGATAGAGATGGAGAGCCAGTTAGCATTAAATCTGCACCAGTTTCATCAATGTACCCCCCCAAACTGAAGACTGACCGATCCGTGTTGGGACGAAACCAGATAATCGAAGTCTTTGAATTTCTTCGGTAGTGCAGACCTGCTCCTAAGAGTGAATACTCTTTTTTTTCTTTAATCCAAGTTTTTGGAGTGTGAATTTAAAATACCCATGCACACTTAAAGTATCAATAGTGACAATGGAAATACAGTTGTGGTCTTTTCACACAGTTTAAACACTACCTACCAGTTCAGATAAAACTGCACATCTATTATTACACTGGGATTGTGTTCAACTGCAGCCATTATGGGTACACCATGGTAGAGAGTCAAAGACAAAGGGTGTTAGAGATTTTAAATGGTCCTTTTATATGACACGCCCCAAAGTCATTTAATGGAAGTTAAGGGATAATGAACAAAAAAATTCACCTATTAAGTAATTTTCAAAAACTCAGAACAGTAAGTCAGCCATACTGTTCTACAGTTAGTTCAAACACCATTATTCCTTTTTTATCATTCATTTGTACTTACATTAAAAAGTATAATTTAGGATCAGCACGTGGTTACTCTTTCCATCAACATATTGGAGTTCAGATTTACTCTAATTTTTGAAGACTGAGCATTTTCATTTCTCAACTATACTGGAGTAATTTAAACATTTTTGAAAATATGATGTGCAGCCAGACCCGGAGTTACACACGCGTGCACAGGAGATGCCCTGTAAGTGGGAATGTGCACCCCGGAACTGCCACTTCCTCCGCTGGGTGCTGCGGACCTTCGGCTCCCTTCCCGGACCACCCTCTACTTCCCATTTCATGCCCCGGACAACCCACAGAACAGGGAAGTGGGAACAGGAAACCCAGGGGCTCTATTGCCAGTCCAGACTCCTCCACCCTGCCCCACCTCGCAGCCGGTTTCCTGGGGAGCATCCCGCTCACCTCGTCACATGTCCCATTCTGTTCCCTGTCCTTCATGTGCCACTCAGTATCTGTAACAAACAGTGGGATACTCGCATAGGAATATCTTGGGTTGCTCAAGAAACACTGATCTGTCTGCCTTCTACTGCTTGCAGACACTACTAAGCAGACACAGAAAATTCCTCCTCTGATCTCGCCACCAGGGAGCGGCAGGAAGAAGAACTGCTGTATCTTCTTCCGGGAGTGCGATTACAGGGGCTGGGTCCTGCCCCTGCTTCCCATTCAGCCCTCGAGGTTAAAATAAGCTTCGAGAGGACAAACCGAAAACGTGGTCACCCAGTTACAGTATTGTTCTTAAAGGCAAATATTACTATAGCTCAATAATTCCACATACATCTGAACCTTGAGAGCATAGTTTTTATTTCAGAACTGCCTGTAGTAATGTACAGAAAACAATGCCAATTTAACAACACAATGACCTCTTCACGTGCTTTCTCGAGTTCTCTCTCCATCCACCCTCCCCCAACACACACCAACTTCAAGCAACTGGACTTTCTGACTTTTCCTCATTTTTCTCTAACTGTAGACACGGGGGTAAGTAGAACGCTTATCTACAGGAATCTGAAAAACTGATGTTCTTTTGAGAGACATTTTCCCAAGCATAACCCTAATGTACCAATTCCACTATTTTGAAACATCTATTCCTCAGCTCAAAAAAGAGCCCCCTCCAATTTGAATTTTTTTAAAACAAACTTCAAACTGGAAACAGATAGTTTTAGCTTGTTCCACATAAAACCTTGATGAGAAGCATTCCTTCAATTTATAAAGAGTTCCTTTACAAAAAGGCTTTCTAGTCTGATTTTAAAAACAATCTATAGAAAACAGTAAATCTTGTTTCCAGCTGTTCATGCAAATCTCAATTAAACCTCCACTTAATCGGTTGCAGCTGACCTCCAGTTCTATATTTTCATACATATAAAGCTTTATATTATATATAACATATATATTTAAATTTTCTTAAGGTTGTGAACATTACCGCATCAACCCATTTGAAGTGACTGTTTTCTTCTGACAACGAAAGCGTCCAGGAAAGTTGGCAGCACCAAGCCGTCACCACGCAGTCTGGCAACCCAACACTCCTCTCTGGGTTTCTGCCTTAGACCTTGCTCTTTCTGGAAGATTCTAAGGAAGCACAGGTACACCTTCTGTTTTTAACTCTGCCAAAAGGCTGTAAAGGCTAAATTCTAGGGCTTTCTCAATGCTTCACAGTAGATGTTCCAGGAAAAAGTAATGATAATGATTGCAAGTAGCATCTCCAATGATATGCTAAAATGAACGTTCTGTGCTCACCAGCACCAACTGAACTATTTCATCAGAAGATCCCCACTCATCAGGAGAACAGACGCCAGAGATGCCAAAATTTGCCACTGGAAAGCACTGGTTTATAACCTGCTTTTGGTGAAAACATACGTTTTGGTAATTTTGATTTGAAATTAATAATATCAAGGAACTAAAAGACACTAAGATGCTGAAGCATGAGTTTGGCAAAAAGTAACATTCTCAATTCAAACAGAGTGAAACTATGAAACCTGAATGTTTTAGAGTTTGCTCTTGAAAATCACATTATTTCAAAATCCCTAACATGATTTATTTTTATTCAGAAACACTTTGAGAGTCGCTAATGGCAATTAAAAGTTTAAAGACTTAAAAGGGGTGAGAAAAGTACAAGGTCTGAGAAGCTGGGTCGGCCTCGCAACACCCCAAGGTGGACGTTCGCACTGCGACCCAGCCCTGGGCGTTTCTCATCACCCAACTGCGCGGCCCAACACGAGCGCACCACGTGCTGCTGCAGATTTCGTCTCACAACGGCTTCTTGTTGTCCGGGCCCTCTGACTGTTGTAGCCTGACAGAAAAGCATTCTCAAAACACCTACGATGGAAGGGGAAAGTCACCAGAAACACCCCCGTGCTTCATGCGGTGTGGAGATGGGAACCAGTACCATGAAATGACGTTCCCGCCATCCTTCTGAGGGGCTCACCCTGACTATCTGCACTGAGGTCTACTGCTCTTCAAACAGCACTCTTAAAAACGATTTCAGATTTCCAACAACAGTGTGTTCCTAAGTGACAGATGTGCTCACTTGCAATACTCTTTCTCCCTAATACTTCCTGCGTTCCCCACTTCAGCAGCTGGTTTCGGGGTGCTCAGGGCAAGGCAGACCCGCAGGTTCAAAGGAAGCCTGTTGCAGAGCCGACACCACGGACCGCGTGGGGGGTGTCCGCGGGAACTGGAAACAGCCCTGGGATGTTGTGATTGGAGGAAGAGCCCTGGACCCGACACTCTGGCAGCTCCGTGTTCTGCAGAAGCAGCCTCAACAGAAGGAAGAACGGGAGGGCTCCTCCGCTGACCTGCTGACCTGCTGACCTGCTGACCGCTGGGCCAGCCCTTCCCTGCTCGACTCCCACTGCGACAAGGCCATCTTTGCTCGGGCTGCCTGGGCTGCCTGGGCTGGAGGGGACACTCTCCCCCCTTCAGCCTTGTTCTGCCCCACGTGATGGGGGAGGGGAGGCTGAGATGCTAAAACTGAAAAACTGACCTCAGGGTGAAGTCAGGCGTTGGGGAGCTAGTGCCAGAGCAACCTCTGGGGGCCCCACAAGTCTGGGCTGTGGTTTGGGGAGAAGGGGTGAGATTCTTCTTTTCCTTCAGCAACAACAAAAATGATAAAGTTTCCTCAAGGTTTCATTCGATGATAATATAAACTTGATTTTTTTGTCAAGAAATAGAGGTTGAGGTGGAAGAGCCCCAAAGAGACAGTGGGTCACTAACAGTGACAGGCCTGGAATTTCCTGGGGAGACCTACCTCTGGGGGGCAGGGAGCCCCACACTCTCAGCCCCCCACGCCCTGTCCCCACATCTCAGTCTGAGCACAGACAATACTGAGCCCTGTAAAAACAAAGCCGCCCTGCACTGACACCCTGCACGCCCCCGCACGCACTTCCGTCTGGCCACCCTACACGCTCTTACTCCCGACCTCGTCCAAAGTTCCCCTTCTGTTACTGTTACTGTTTCATCTGTGAAGCAACACGTACATTAAAACTCAGCTTACTGGTTTTTTTTTTTAAGTGCTTAAATCCATCCTATGCAATTGTTTTTCATCTCATTTTCAACCAATAAAATCAAACTCATTGAGGTTCATGAATAACACTGAAAAAAAGGAAATCTGATGATTCTGTCCCATTTTTAAATAATGTGCCTTCATTCCCAGCTTGCCCTTAACTGACTTACTTCCGTACCTTAGTGAGTTGAACTCTTGTTTGGAAAATACAGAAGGTACAAATATATAGAATTTTTAGGATAAAAAATTTTCTGAATATAAAAATGCTTTCTAAATGTTTCAAAATAACACTTTTAGACTCTTGTAGTTTGGATTTGATAACTAAATTGTTAAGTACCCAAGGTTTTTAAAAAATATCAAAAGATAATAACATGGTTTTAAATACAAAGTTACAAAGGAACCACTATGTTGGTGGATTATCCTCACGGAAAGTTCAGTTTCTCAACAAGAAAACCCCACATAGTTTAGCCATAAAATAAAAATCCCTTAGCAAAAACTTCGAGAGAGAGAGCTACGTGTGTTAATGATTGCCCGAGTTGCCAGCACGGCTCCGGTAAAACACCGAATCGTCCAGAAAACACAGCCTCCAAGAGGTGTGCAAGTGCCGCCGCAGGACAGAGCGGGGCCGGCCGGGCCCTGGACGCCAGGCCGCCTGCTCCCGCATCTTCCCGGGGGAATGTCCCCGTGGCCCACACTCCGCACACTCCTCAGTGCACTCCGTCCACACTGCGCCTGTTCCCCACGCAGAGCTCTGTGCGGGCGTGTCAAGGGGGAAGTGTGAGTTGAGCACTACACCCTCTTCCTACTGTAAACGCTTCACACGGTTGGGTCCCCTTCGGAAGCTGTGGGAGCTCATATGAGCCTGGAGCTTTTCAGAAACTGGATGAGAACTCTGTACACGAACGTGTACTGGACGAGGGTCTGCACCAGCATCATCCTCTGCTGCCTCAGCATGTCCAGCACCCTTGGGATGTCTAGCACCTGGATTGAGAGAAACAGCGATGAGGGGGTGCACTCCCGGAGAGAGAAGGGGGCGGGGGAGTGGGTGTCCGGGCAGAAATCTGCTTAGCTGGGTAGGAGACAACAGTCTCCTAACCTGTCCACCTTCACATCTTCTATGTATTTTTAGAAAAACGGGGACCTCTTGGCTCTCTGAGCAGCCCCATGATTGTGGGCAAGAACAAGCACCTTACAAAAGGCAGCAAAGGGAGCCAAGAAGAAAGTGGTTCCTCTACTTACTTTCTAAGAAAAACTGTTTGATGTAAAAGTACCAGCTATATCAATGGAAGAAACACTGGGAAAATTCCAGTAACCAGAACTCAAGGAACAAAAATTGCATCTGATGGTCTCACGGGTCATGTTCTGGAAGTGAGCCTACCTGGTCTGCAGAACAATTAAGATGGATTTGGAAGGTTCAAGCTAATTTCCGACGATGTTCAGGGCAAAAACCACCGAACCAATTTCAAACGGCATGGATCTCACCCGTGATAAAATGTGCTCCGTGCTCAAAAAACCACAGACCAATACTGAAGCTCAAGGTGTCACAACACTGGTGGTTACCTGCTTCACCTGTTCTGTGTTGGTTTTACTACAAACACAACAATCGGACTATGAAGAAAGCTATGCTCAGCATTGGTAGGTCCACCAAATCCAGAACATGACCACAGAAATCATGACCCGAGAGGAGCGGACACATGACTAGAAAACACTGGTCAACACACTGGTACCAGGTACCAGGTAGCACTGGAAAAGACACAGAAAAGGCTCTCCGGTCTCTTCACTGGCTCCATCACGTCTTCGTTAGAGAAGTCGAGGTGCTGAAGAAGCCCAAGTTCGCACTGGGAAAACACATGGAGCTTCGTGGTGAAGGGAGCAGTTCTGGAAAAGCTACTGGGGACCAGACAGGCGCTAAAGGTGAATGAGCTGACGGCTGCGAGCCCCCGGTCAAAGCAGCTCTTTAAAAGTCAGATGTAGTTTACTGGTGACAAAAAAAAATCCTACTTGTGGGGGAAAAAATCCCAAGGAATTTCATCCGAAAAGAGCTGTGAGGCCACTAGGTCCTTCTCTTCCCCGACGTCCCCTGCCCCCTTCTCCCCCCAGCAGAGAAGGAAACCAGCACCTCATTGTGCTCCAGGCAGGCGATCATGATCTCCGACAGAATGATGACCCCAGTGCGGCCCACGCCCGCACTGCAGTGCACCAGCAGCGGGGGGTTGGGGCTTCTGGGCTCACTGGTGCTGTTGGTGTGGCGTCGCACAGACTGGATCTCTTCAAGGTACGCTGCGAGGCACCAGTGAGACAGAACGATACTCGGGGTTTAGGCGTATCGACCCTTCTCGGATGATCCCCACTGATGGAGAGGACTCCAGACAAGGGGCGCTGGGTCCCGGCTAACCAAGCCCCCCGCTGACTGCCCGTGTGACCTTGAAGTTGCCCATCCCGCCTGGGCCTCCATTTTCTCACCTACAAAATGCACTGGAGGAAAGACTCACTCACAGCTTTGTGCTCACTACCCAGTTATACCTAAAAACCTTGTGCTAAGCCTCCCCTAAACACCCGAAATCTTTATTTTAAAACAAGCCTGAAGTTTATATGAGACAACATAAAGGACATACTTCAGGAAAGTAAGCCTTCCCCTCCGTGGCTGACTTGACAGGCCCAGCAGAGGCCACGCTGGGGCCCGAGACACTTACATAAAAAGCCCTTGAGGTCCCCCGGGCAGCCGTGCTCCGGCCAGTCTGTGTACTGGAGATGCCAGACTGTCCTCTCCTGCCCCGTGAGCAGGTGCTTCATCTTCAAGCCTGTGGTGGCATAGCAGCCGGAGTCGGTGCGGAACCGGGTGGTGATCTTAAACCTTCCGTAGGTGACAGTGTTGTGCCTGGAACCCAGCCGTGGCCAGTACCTGAAGCTCTTCTCCCTTCCTCCCTCCTGTCACAGACAAGCGCACAGACAGTCAGAACCCCCACGAGATCCAGCAACACGTGGCCTTTCACAGCCGGCGCGTCTCAAATCCAGAATCACCATCCCCACCTGCCTCTTTCCCTGAAGGTCAGGATCCTGAGTAACTGATATTAACTTCGCATCTGAGCCTAAAGAAAACCGATGACAGATTTGAGTTCTTACCTCTTCTGCTGTCACCATGGCTATGATGGCAATTCCCTGTTCCCACACCATCTGCCAAAAGTCCTGGCAGGTGTTCTGTAAGGGCCCCTGTGTGGCGATATAGTCCCATTCAATGCCACTGACAGAGACCTGATGTGAGAAAGGGTGGAAAAATCAGTATGTGTATACGTATGAGACAGGCACGCACGCACATTTGTTTGTGGTAATACTAAAAGGCGAACTGCATCACTCAGAATAAAGACAGGCTTTCATCTGACTCTTTTTCCTTGTCAGTACAGTTTCCGTTTCCGACATCGTTGTGATCTTATGCACTGTGAATTCCCAGTAGGTCTGTGTGACCCGGAGCAATTCACTTTCCTCTCCGCGTGTCGGTTCCCACATCAGAGTGGAAACACTGCCCCCCATGGGGTTGCCGCTGGAACTGCGTCCGTCAACACAGACTGAACACAACCGAAACTCAGGAAGCGGCAGTTCCTGCTGCTGCTGCGGTTCTTCCTCTCCGAAAAGCAGTATCAGCCTCACAGCACCGAATCCCAAACATAATCTCCCCTCGTGGGGAACTAAACACACTGGAAAAGGTACTAGCGACTGAGCTAAAACCTAAGTGAAATGTCAGATGTCCAGGAGAAAATGATCCTTCTCTGTGCACAGGCCTCACCGCCAACCTGCCGAGTGGAGACCAGCCTCCACGATGACACCAGCTGCCCCTTCCGATCCACCCCCCTGGAGAACAGTCGGAAACAATCACCGATGTGGTCGGGAGACCCGGGTGACCTCTCAGCTGCACTCATTTACTGACCGAGGTGACTTTCCTGAGCACCCAATGAGCATGAGGCCCTGGGCCAGGCACTGTCCCCCCCCTGCTCTCACTTAAGGCCAAGGTCAGAAGCCATGGCCTCTCGCCGAGCGCCCACTCAGTGGCAGGCACTGTGACGGTGAACAACAACTAGGGAGGAAGGGTCTGGTGCGAGCCTCAGGGGAACATGCCCGCATTTCTTTCTTCAAAAACAAACACCATGACACCCCACTCGGGGGAGTGGAGGTCTGGCAATCCTGAAGCTCTGATGAAGATTCGGAAATGCCACTACAGAACAATAACACAGCATCGACCAGTTCTGATTCATCTGAACAGGAGAGACGGAGTGAGTTATTCCAGAGAAATGCCCGATTTTTAAGTAGAGTGGGCCGTGTCACAAAGCGCATGCACAGAGTTCCAAGGACCACCGAGGAGGCACTGCCATCCACAGGAGGCCGCCGGGCCTCGTGTGTGAAACCACTCTCATTAAGAACCACTCGCAAGCTAAATAAAATGGGGGGGGGGGGCGGAGAGAACAACACCTGCCATGGAATTGACCCCATTCACGCACTAGAGGGAAATCTCTCCTCCCGCAGGAAGCTGCTGCCCCTCGCCTGCAGGAGCGGTGCACAGCGATGGAGAAGACAGGGCGCGGGCTCCCCTCACTCCGCATAGTGAGTCGTCATCACTCTTCCCCTTTTAATGGTGCAACGTCACCCCACAGAAATGGCGTTATACAATTTCCAGGAAAAAAAGTGGCACTGCCCCTTCAAAGAACAAAATAATGTTTAAAGGAGATCACAGGGAGTGTGCAAAGGGAACAGATGGCACCATTGCAAGTAAAGGCTTTGGGGAAAACACCAAAAACCCCAGACACTTCTGTTACATAAAAACGCATGTAGGGGTGTCATGAGAAAAAAATCAATCCTAGTTTATAAATTCTCTCAGAGGCGACAGAAAGAAATCTTCAGAGATTACAAAGGCAAAGTTCTAAAACTGGGCAGGTAAGCGCTTCAAGTCCTAACACCACGGTGAGGGGCGCGGTGGTTCGCCACGTGGAGAGAGCAAGCGGGACTCGGGTTCTGTCAATAACCACTTTCTATCCAGCCCTGATGTATAGCTTTCCCAGCTAACAGCATAAAACAGGTTCAGGACTAGGGTGTTTCTAGAATACAGTCATGGGTATAATTCCAACAGCCTTGCAACTCAACTCAAAGCTTCACTTTCCTGTCTATTATTCTAACCGCGCCTGTCACCTTAATATGGGAGGCGTTGATGTAACCAGTGTTGTTTTCTTTGGTTGGGACCAGCTCCACTCTGGCGTCGTCATAGGGAAGCACATCTTGGAATCGGTTTCTTTCTGCGTTTTCGGGGAGCCGTGCCGTTGAGCACTCGCCGTTCACCAGCCGTTTTTTAAGAATTCTCTCGTACTCGGTGAATACCATTCCCTGCTCCAACCGCTGCTCCAGAATTTTACACTGTAAGATAGAGGGCGCAGCGTAACATGCGCACAGCCGCACGCTGCGGCTGCACGTTGCAGGACATGCGCACGGCTGCACGCTGCGGCCTCACGTGGCATAGTGTGCGCACGGCCGCACGCTGTGGCCGCACGTGGCATAACATTAGCAGACCGCACGTGGAATTAAATGTGCACGGCCGCACGCTGCGGCCTCACATGGTATAACATGCGCACAGCTACGCGCTGCAGCTGCACATCTATGGGACATCTGAAATCTTGCTCTCTGGTTCAAGTCTAGCACTACCTAATGCTGAAACCGAAGTCAAATTTTCACCAAGCCACAACAGTCACATAGGAAATAATCTTACTGGTGAGAAATAAATGCAAAGTTCTGTTTAAAGATGAAAAATGGCCGTAAGCAATCTGTTGAATTCATTTTCTCTAAATTCATTGTCAGTTTTGCGACCCCTATGAAAAAGAAAAATTCCCCTGAAGAATAAATAGTAAATCCTAGCGTAGAATAATCAATTCCAACATCTATGAACAAATGCTTCAATTTTATAATATGTAATTATATAAAAAACTGAAAATAGTAGTAAATATTGGAAACCATCTCCAGGGTACAGTGGTAAGCAAATTAATTTCTGCTTAGCATAATCCATGCCTCTCTTGGTCACAAAGGAAGTTTTAAAAAAATTCAGCAACCGCTTACTACTGAGGTAAATTTTCAGTACGATGAAAACAGTCAGTGTCTGTTTTCTTGCCTGTGTGTGCTCGTGGGCCTTTGCAGATTTGCTCTAACAAGGCCATAAAAAAATCAAGACTGCCCAGGTGGCTGGAAGGTGGTAAAGAACAACATTCACACACACACTGAACATACTAGCCTGAAATTATACGACATTAGCTATAAATTAGCCCCAATTTTGAAGTCCAGATTACAAAATTCCTTAACACTCATTTGTGGTCACTGAATGCGTTAGGGAAGTCACTAAGGTCCTAGGAAGCAGTTTTGCTGCACTTTACCCACTGTCCCCGGGGGGCGGACGCAGCCCCACCACGTACGTACCCTCTCGTCATTGGTGGCTCTGGCACACACTTCCTTCCCTTCATCAGGCAGAGGCAGGCGAGACAGGGAGAGGCCGTTCAGGGCGGCCAGTTTGAGAGGACCCATTTTTTTTGCATCTACTCGGCTCTTTTTCATTCCCTAGAAAAATATGGGTATGTATATATGAAATATACACAGATACAACCCCTTCGAAAAGAAACCTTCAAAAACGGAGTGAAGCCTGGAAGCAAACTGAGGAGAAAGTATACTCCTCCCCAGCCACACCCACAGTCACTGGACAAGCATTGGGAGGAGGTCCTTCCTTACCAGGCCAAGGCCCTGATAAGTCTCCCAGATAGAAGAAGGTTTTGAAATGCAGTTGGTTTCGGGGTTCTGTTGTAATGAAAGGTGAGGCTCCAGGCAGACAGCATTCCTACACAGAACCCCCAAATTTCAAAACAGGGCATGCCAATAAAATCAGCTGCTGTCCTTAGGAAAGGGTTTTAAATGCAATCAGCTGATTGCAGTACGCTTTGGTGATTTTTTAAAAAATATAAATGAGTCCTTTAAACCACTCCGAAGAAGGAAATGTTCTCTGTTCTGTCCTATGTTGCATTTCAGACGGTGTGGCCTAGATCGATCACCTCACCTCTCAGAACCCCCACATTTTTAAACCAGGACAGTAAACAAGGCTGAAAGCTCCATCTCGACAGCAGGAAGACAGGTGTGAGACCAGCTGGAAGACCAGGTGTGAGACGGCAGCACATGAACAGGAGCTACCTCCTGAACACAGGTGTCCTAAACTCACTGTCAAAGCAAATGCTTTTCTTCTCTAAGGCAAATAAGCCAAGAATGCTGTTTCCTTAGATGTCCTACACCCCCTTGCAAGCCGTAAGTTTACACCAACAGTAGCCCCGTTTTAAAAGTAATGGTTTTCTCAGCTATGTCTCGTAAATGAAACCAGCTCTACCAGCCTGGGAGGGAGGGAGTGGTGGGGAGACAGACACATAGGTTGCTGCACAGGTGAAAACCCCATGATTCCAGTGTGTGCAAAACACAGTGAGCTGTTCTACAACTGGCTGTCTGTTGGGGGAAACTCTGATCTGTAAAGTCTGCCGACTTCCGTGGTGCAAACACTCCCACTGCGGCCAAGTTCAAACTGAACATCAACTGAATCACAAGAGTCCTGAAAACTTTACAGTCAGTTCCCACCAGCCAGTACAAGGTAGTTCAAAATGCCCCAGCATGGACATGCAGGAGGAAGCTGATTGGCTGTAAGGTCAGCTCTCATGACAGTATTTGAATAAAGGGGCAGAGAGTCAAAGTCAGCCTCCGATACCCCTTGCGCAGCCCGCAAAGTACACACCAGAGGTTTTAAATGCACAACCTGCACTGCGATCTCTTAGGTGAGAACCACCACACAAAACTAAGGGTGCAACGAAAAGAAAACCTTCCTGTAGCACTGGAACCAGTCCACTTTCTTGGACAGCAAGCAAGGCCTTGGGGGCGGGGCTGGGTGGGGCACACTGAAGTGCTCCTGCTTGTCTGCAATGTGTTTCACTGTTTTTCATACTGAACCTTAATTCACATCAATGTGTGGACTGAGTTTCTCTGCTGGAACAGTTAAAACAGTATCATGGAAGCCCTGGCTGGTGTAGCTCAGTGGATTGAGCGCAGGTCTGCGAACCAGAGGATCGCGGGTCAGTTCCCAGCCTGGGTTGCAGGCCAGTTCCCTGCAAGAGGCAACCATACACTGATGTTTCTCTCCCTCTCTCCTTCCCATCTAAAGGTAAATAAAATCTTTAAAAAAAAAAAAAAAACAACAGTATCATGGGACAGGGCTGAGCTCTTCGGTCCTCGGGAAGCCAGCAGGTTGAACGTGTGGATGCAGCCACAGTAGTCAGTTAAGCGGGAGCACCTGCTGGGCGCTGGGGTCTCACCGTGTCCCTCCAACGGCTCCCTGAGGTCATCCTTCCTTGACAAGAGAAAACTAAACAGCTTGTCCAAGGTCATATAGCGGCCTCTTTATTTATTTGTATGTATAATACAAATAAATGGTAACTGTGTCAAGACAATAAAAACTACCTTCATTAAAATCAGTTCTGCTGCACCACAGAATTCTGAAGGCATTTTTCATGCCCATCCTGATGGAGGGCGAAACACAACCCGCCACGGCAGGCAGAGCCGAGATGACAGTTCCGTGTGGCGGATGGAGAAGCTGAGGTTCTGCGGCAGGAAGGGTCCGCCCACAGGGCAGACAAGTAATAAGACAGGCAGGCCCTGGGCTCTGACCCGGTTCTCCACTCAGGTCCTGCACCTTCCCCTGCCGCCACAGCTTCCACGCACATCCTCTGAGTGAGGAGACTCCCTTAAGGGAAAAGGGGAACAGAAGCATAATCCAATCACCTAGTTTTATTAATACCGTAGGTCTTAAAAGTCAATGAGAAGGAAAACTTGTGTTTTTAGAGACCCAAGCTGACCAAAGTCCTCAGATATAGCAGACAACAGGCTTGAATACTGGACCATCCTCAAATAAGCATCATCTGGGGAGAAGACCTGGGTCACCTAAAGTGATGGACGGTTCCTGATGTAATGAGAGAAGAACACTAACCACGAAAGCAGAGTTACTTTGGAAGTCACGCCCACAGCCTGTTCCCACCCTCAGTCACCGATTATGAGCCCACACCTGCAGCCAATCCGAGACACTGCCCTTCACTGTTCAGCTCGGTGGGTAAGAATGCACTCCCCTCAAAAAAAATTAAAAGTAAACGGAAAACTCAAAACTGAAGTTCATTAAAAAAAACACATTTAAATAGATAGCACTGTTGTAAGTTTTAGTTTATGTATACTCAGCTATTTCATAAGTAATAATTCACAGTAATAATTCACAGTGTGTGAATTATTTTCCCACTTATGGAGACATCCGCAGCACCTCTGAGAACCACACTGGCGATGGGCCCTAAGGTCTGAGTTTGCCGTCTAGTAGGGACGCGGTGTCCTTGCTGCAGGACACTGGGAGCGACTGGGAGGCGGACTGGTGAGGTCAGCTGGAGTCGGGCAGGCCAGGCTGCAGGGCACGAGGAGTGCAGCAAGATGACTCACGGTGGATAAGCTGACGTGACAAGGCCACCAACGCTTGGCCAAAGCTTGGGGACTCAAAAGTTAAAAGGTTTCAGTAGATAGACAGAGAACAGCAAAGCTGAGATAAGCAATTATTACTTAACAAAATATCATATACAATACAACTGGATGCAGAAATGTAGCAAATGAGAGAACGGGTTGCAGAGATAAACGTGGGTTTAAAAGTCCAGTCCAGTCCCTCACTAGCTGCGCGACCTTGGGAAAGCTACTTAATATCTCAGAGTCTACTCCCTCATCGCAAGAACAGAAGGTCTGTTCCATCGGGACGAGTTAGAGCAGATGGCATGCTGGGCACCACACGCTGGCAATGGCCACTAGAGATGACGCTGTGCTTTTATACTTTGCTTCCAATCAGTAAGATATGCTTAACTAGCTCACGGTTATTTATTATACTGACTATTAAACTTCTCAGCTGTGTTTTCTACAAGAAACCTTCCTTGGATTCTCGGTTCATTTCATCTTTCTTTTAAAGAGACCTGAGCTTTCTTGACAATGTAGCACCTTTCCAACTCTAGGATCACTGGAGAGCTCTAGCCCTCAGAGACCACGGCCCAGCACCTGCAGCTGTAGCCACACGACTCTAACATAAAGACACGTTAGGGACACCCCGAGAACGCTGCTCTCAGACATCACTCGAGCAAACCAGCAAACGGAACATATGCAGCCCTGGGCTGCTTGCATCAGCCACGGGGGTTGTTAACAGGGGCTAACAGAGCAATCTGGGCTCACGTCACCGGGCCTTAGCTTCCTTCTCCCTCATGCTGCTTTGCTGAAACATTCCATTCATTCTTTCTGCTCCACTCCACACAGCTTCCAAAATCTAATTATCTCTAGAAAAACCACTAAAATCTAATCAATCTCTATTACTTTCACAGATAATCAAACTCAAATGTGTTCCAAATAAGACAATAATACAGTAGAGAGCAGGGAGGGGATTAAAACAGTTAAAAGAAAAAAGCTGGAAACGTCAGTAGTGAGTTGAAGACAAGACCCATGAAGGACAACAGGTGTGGAGAAGAGGCAGGTTGAAAGGCCGTTCAGGGCTGGCCACGGCAGCCCAGCACGTGGAACACTCACCCCTAACGGCGGAAGTCCTTCCACGATGGTCTTCTTTCCGGAGAGGAGGTCGGACACAGGCCTCTTCTTCAGAGAATCCCTCCTGGCCCGGTACCTCCCCGACGTGGTGAGGTCAGACTCGGACATGGAGGGGGTGAGCAGCCCATCTCTCCGGGGCCGCTGGGCCTCCGCCAGCAGGCGCACGGGGCTGCCCTCCCTCGCCCTCCTCTCGGCCTCTGTGACCTGGGACTTGGGCTCGAGAATGTGCAGAGGGCCGACGCCCGGAGTGACGGAGGCGCAGGAGTAGCCCGCCTGCGGCTCTTGGGAGTAACTGCCCCGGGGCTCCCGTGCCCGTGGGGAGAGCACAGCCGGCGCTCTGTGCTCCTCCTCGAAGTCCTCCTCCTCCTCCTCACTGCTGTGTATCAGCATGGTGGCATCCGAAAGGGACTTGTTGTGGCCGTATCTCAGGCCTTCCTGCCCGGCCGTCTCTCCCCGTTTTGTTCTTTCGGGGAAAACGTTTGGCTGGGAGCCTGCGGAGCTAGCCCGTGGGGCCACGTCCGCGGCCGAGGCCGACATGGTCCTCTCCTTGAGCCTCATGCCCTCGAAGCTGTGAGTCAGCCCCGCGATCTCGATGCTGTTCCTCTTCTGCAGGTGCGCGTGCCGGGCCGCGGTGAGGGGCTCGCTGACCTCCTGCAGGGAGTGAGCCACCGGCAGGCTGTCCTCCTGGAAGGTCTGCACCGAGTGGTGGACGCGCCGGGTGATGAGATCGGGGTTGCTGCTGCTGATGTAGAGGTGGCGGGACAGGTCCGGGGTGCTGTTGGCGGGCCTCGGGGGCGGGTAGGGCGGGGGCGGGCGGTACACCTGGGTCCTCATGATGTTTGGGGCCGGGTAGTCCTGGGCCTGGAGCTGCACGTTGGTCAGCTCGGGCACGCTCACGGCACCCACCACGGGCCGCCTCTCCGCGGGGTAGGGGTAGGGGGACTGGCTGTGGAAACTGTAGTTCAGGCTGAACGGGCAGTGGGCCGCCGGGGGCGAGGCGAAGTGGGCGTGCTCCCGGATCTCGGGCTGGCTGTAGACCAGAGCGTCGGGCCGGCTGTACGCGTAGGAGCTGCCGATGCTGAGGTTTCTCAGCGAGTGGCTCTGCCTCTCCGCGTGCCCCAGCCCCCGGTTGAGCTGCTTCATCACGGTCTCGTAATCGGGGGTCGGGCGGTAAGAAGGGGGGATCAGCGCGCTGTGTCGATGAGACGGGACGTAGTCGGGTCTCATGACGTCGCTGCCGGTGATGCTGGGGTTCGAGGACATGGGCGAGGGCTGCAGGTAGGGCTGCGGGCTGTTCAGGGAGTTCGTGCTGTGTGCGCTGTAGACGCTGCCATTCCGGATGCGGCCGCTGAGGTCCATCTGGGCTCGGTCCAGGCTTGTCTGAGAGTGACAATAGTAACCGTTCTGGTTGGTCACAAAGAGGTTATCTGGGGGAAAAACGTTTAGAATGTATTTTAAAATGAGATTTTTTAAAATGTATTACATTGGACTAAATACTGCAGACAGATATTGAGACGGGTCTTGAACGTTGATGACATTTTCAGTGTCGTTTGTGGAACTGCATGCTGAAATGACCTGGCTTTCCCTCCCCGCACACCAAGTGACACGGGGCACTCACTTCCTGGAGCCTCGGCCTCCTCATCCACACACTGGGGGCGGCTCTGCCTGCTCCAAGGGTGGTGCTCGGCCCGCGGCCCCCCAGCAACCATTAGCCAAATCTACGTCCCATCTGAAGAATACGGTTGTATCACAAGCCCTGTATCTGTCTGAAGTCAAAACCGTGCTTTACGAGACTTCCAAACATGTAACGGACTCCCTGAGATTCCAGGGAGCCAGAGGCAGGGCCGTCACTGCAGGCACAGGGCCACCGACTGTGCTTGCTCCCTGGTGGGGACGTAGCCCGCGGGTGCTGAGCTAGTTCACGCACCAACTGCCTGTGAACACTTCCTTACATGGAACTGCGATTTGTTTGCATGAGTTCTTCCAGGATGAACAGAAAAGGCACTAGTCCAGCAGAACTCGAGCTTCTCCAGGTCCAGCAGTGCCACCCGCAGCTGTCCGCCTCACCAGGGGGCAGAAGCCAAGAAGAACCATGCTAAGCCAGCCACCCCTGCCCCTGCTCCTGCCCCCATGCTTTGGCAAGACTGGGATCCACCACTCAGAATCAGGAGTGAGCATACACTTGTCCTGGGCTGGGAAGAGGCATTTTCTTCCAGCCCAGCTGCAGTTCACCTGAAACTGGAATGAGGGTGATCGCTCACACTTCAAGAAAAGCAGCAGTCAAGCCCTTCAGAGAACAGACTTCGAAAAGCATTCTTTTTGTGATTCAAAAGCCTCGTGACAATTTAAGTAACAACTGATTTTCTACGTGAACGCAGCACAGTACAGTGTGGGGACTTCATTCTGGCAGCCGAGAGCCACGAAGGAACAGACTCTAAGGTATCACCACATCCTTCCTGCTGATGCACGACCCTCCTGGTCCCAGTGCTCTACCGTACCTCGGACACACGGGATCTCGGAGTCAGGAGCACCCCCTCTTCTCAATGCTGGCACAGCTCAGGTCCCCCACTCCAGCCTGTCTGGACTAGCCCACCCCCGCCCACCTGGCCACCCAGCCTTCAGCTCCCCTGTGCATCCCACAGACCATCCATTTCTAAATGGATGGTCCATTTCAGCCCATATTGTAAATCACTACATGAAGAACCTAAGGGGAGAAACAACTGGAATCCAGTCAAATGAAAGGGCTGGGCTGATGGGGTCGGAAAGAGAAGCCATGGCACTGGGGAGGCCTTGAGGGACAGGTGGGGGGCAGGCACGCCCAGCTCTCATCGGTGGCAGGGACCACTTCCCAGGGCACATGGGATGGTGCCCCCTCACCGCCAGAGGTCAAGAGCTGCCATGGGACTGGTCATGGTCAAGGGAACGTGAACAGAGGGCGGACAGCCAGGTTCCGGGCTCCCTTGTCCCTGCCGATCTGACCAGCCACATTCCAGTGGGAAGCAGGGGCCTCTTGCCAGTGCACGGAGGCCAGGGAACCTGAAACCTCCCGAGCAAGGAGTCGCCTTGACGGTGAGGCCACGGAGAGTTTAGCACTGTTTGTTCCCACAGCACAACCTGGACTATCCTGACTGCTGGACTATCCTGACCGGACGGAGGCCGGTGGGACATGGACACTCTGGGGGACGGAGCTGCAGGGGCAACACGAGACCCTCCCAGAGGCCGTGCTCGACCTGGATGCGTACTGGGCAGCTGGAGAGGAGGGCAAGGACGGTGGGGTTAAAGCTGGAAGCCAAGTGAGGGAATGTCGTGCAGAGCTGAACACCAGGCGAAGGAACGACCAGCAGGCAGCTGAGACGATCACTTGGCGGCTGCGTGTCCAACAAATCTGGGAGAGTGGACCTGGGAGGTACTCAGTCCTGAGGCACAACAGCAAGTGAGAGGTTTGTAAAGAAACTGGGCTGGATCGGTAGCAGAGGGATGGGGAGAAGGAAGTGATACTATCGCAGTTAGAGGCCATGGGATGCCGCAGATCTGTAACTGACTGGATGTTAAGGGGGAAAAAAGAAAAGAAAAAAACTGCATGCAGCGTGTAATCCAAGCAACCAGGAGAGTGACTCCATCGTAAAGATGAAGGAACACGGAGAAAGGGAAAGGCCAACAGAGTGAAGAGACCCAATTTAATGTTTCGATCCATGTCCCGCAGGTTTGTAACAGCTGGCACTGTTTACTGACTGCTCACCATAAGGCAGGCACTCAGCTGAGGGCACACACGTGCCACAGCTCCCTGAGCAGCATGGTCGTCTAGCAGACATGGGAGTGTGGGGCTGGGACCCCGGACTGAGGAAAGAGGGGGAAGTATAGGTGTGACACTCACCCTTGGAGAAACCAGAAGTGCGGGGCAGCCTGCAAAGAGAGGGAAGGCAGCCAGGGACAGACGGACGCTGGAGGCGTGAGCAACACCGATGGCGCAGGCGGAGGAGGGAGAACCAGCACACTGAGGTCTTTCGAGAAGGAGGGGTTGCTGGAATGTGATGGTAAGAAGGACGTGTGGGGTGCTGAGGACCCGGGAGAGGGCAGCTCGAACAGAGCGGCAAAGGCACACGGAGTAAGCAGGAAACCAGACACAACGCACAGGTGTCTCTTCTGAGAGTGAAGAAGGGGGTAGAAAAGGAAAGGAAAGCAATCACCCCAGAGAGAAGAGGGGGAAATGTCGGGATGTCTGCAGACCCAGGACAAGGAACGCGTAGGAAGGCAACACTAACAAGGCAGAGAAGAGTCTTTTCCCAGGAGTGGGAGGGGCTGGGGTCACCAACCCAGGCAAGGGCAGGACGCAAGGAGGAGAGGACAGCGAAGGTGCAAAACACCCCGAGATGCACAGTCTCCGAGTGCACACCCCAAACACTGCCCACGTCCACGCACGAAACTCTCATCTTTACCACGAGGCCCAGCACAAACACCACAGTCCAGTCCACCCCCCCCCCCGTCCCTTCCAGTTTCCTACCAGTTCCCTACGTGAGCTGAATGGACCTCCTTACTCTCCAAACACCCTAACCTCTTACTGTGCCAATTTATAAACTAAACTTTACCGAGGTATGCACATATGAGAAAAAGCACAGTACACATGGTGGTCGGTACATCCGCAGTTCCAGCACCCACTGGGGGTCCCGGAACACCTGCCCCTCGGAGAGAGAACTGCTGTGCTGCATGTTTTCCACACACGTCCAAGAAGCTGAACACAGTGGCAGCCTGTTCTGCATGTCTGGCTAGAATCACGACGACAACTTTGGATGTCACTTCAGCCAAAATTTATGCTGGCGTCAAGATTTCCACATGTTCACAATGTATTCGAATGGTCATGATTTTCTGAGGCGCTGGAGAAACGGCACACCTCACCTTGAGAAGCGGCGTACGGTTCTGAGTAATGCCCGTTGTAATGCAGCTGGGGCGGCGCGGGCATCCCACAGGGCTGAGGCTGAGGCTGAGGCTGAGGAACAGAAAGTCAGAGACAGGGTTAAAACGCATGGTCCGCACAACACCCGTGGAGTGGTTCTCTGCTGGCTTCTTTCTTGCCACTAAGAAACTTCTAAAGGAGCCAGAGACATTAGACATGAGAAGCAAACACGAAGACCCCATAGCTGCACCCGTCATCTTCACCGCCTCCCAGAAGGGCAAGGCCACGCCTCGGGTGCAGATTTGGACATCAGCACGAGAAAACATCACGGACACAAATGTCCTGGATTCTTCTATAAACATTTGAATACAAGAAGCTTACATGTAGCCCTGGTTGGTGTGGCTCAGTGGACTGAGCACAGACCTGCAAATCAAAGGTCACCGGTTGGATTCCCAGCCTGGGCACATGCCTGGGTTGCAGGCCAGGTCCCCAGTTGGGGCGCATGAGAGGCAACCACACGCTGATGTTTCTCTCCCTCTCTTTCTCTCTCCCTTCCCTTCTCTCTAAAAATAAGTAAATAAAACCTTTAAAAAAAAACATGTAAATAAATAAATATTCAGCTTAACCTATGGAAAAATCACCATTTCTTTGGTCAAAAACAATCATATATCGACACACTTTTGTGGTTCAAAGTGACACCAGCACTGCCACGAGCCTGCTTTACGGAGAAAGACGACTGACATCGCTGAAAGAAGAATGGCCGCCGTAGTTTTCCTTCCTTCTTACCAGAGACATCCTTGAAGAAGACCTCCTCCTGATCAGGTTCACTGTGACGGTCTGAGTTTGCCTGGGAAACAAGACATGTCTTTGAGAAGACCTTACATATAAGCTCACACACACACGACCTTCTAATTCTACCAAAATGAATGAATAAGAAGGTAAAATGACAAGTGCTCTAATACAAAAAGACAAAGTAATATGATCACCAATTTGAGCAAAGGGAGAGTCTCTGTCCTCACGTGGGGCCTCTGCCCCTTCCTGCTGCCCAGATCTCTCTGACCACTCGGTCTGAGCCTCCTCTCAGAGCGTCAGTTGCCTGGATACCAGAGGGGTCCACTGGAGTGATTTTCCCTGGTCCATCCAGAAGCCACTGGAATGACCTCCAGCAGAGAGGAAGGGGGCGGAGCTCTAGGCCACCCACAGACGCAACCCAGAGGAAGCAAGATTCAGGGCAAAGGCATCTGTCCTGTGGGCCAGGTCAGCACGGAGCGCCCCATTACCAGAGCCCTAAAGCCAGAAGCAACGGGGACTGCCCTTAATTAAAAGCCTGCAAACCTTAATGATGGGATACATCTATGGCTTTGATAACTGAAGGATCTGTATCTTTTCTAAGGAACTAAGTTAGGGAAAACAAAAAGGTAGGAAAATCGTTCTAGTGGGCCTATGGTAAGCCCATTTATTTACCTCTCTTTCAGAAAGCTTCTGATTGGTTTTAAATGCACTTTTTAAAAAGCAATGAGAATATTAAGGAGAGTCAACTGACATTTATCAGATAAGCTGAGAGTTTAAACTATTCACAAGGTCCATCTCTGAATAAAATTAAGTCAAAAAGGACCAAGAAAAAAAAGCCCACTTATAATTCTATCGTTTTTAAACAGGCAGGCATTTTTTTGTTGTGTGGTCAGTTTTGTTGAAAATAAGATCTGGGAACCTAAATACTGAGAACTCTTGGCTTTGTGGATGACTTACACGATTTTGTCAAAGCACTTTAAAACAATTTCTCACCATCTATTCCTGGCTCAGGAGCTTACGTGACATGTAATTACTGGTCACAGAAATATTTTGTGACCTTTCGTTGGAGCGCTCTAAGGCCTAAGTACTAGAAAATCCGTAATTATGAGGTGAGCGCATACTCCATTTAACCCGCACATTTTCCATAACATCAGCCCCGTGTCTCATAAACTAACACTCCTTGCACTCCAACAACCGGTGTCTCATGTTCAAACCCTGCACATTAGCTCAACGTCGGGTGAACAGATGTCTCTCAAAGGATGCTCTATTCTGCCAGCATTCGTGTTGCTCAACGGTAAAACAAGTGCAAATTCTATTAGACTGCAGAGGTTCCTGCTATCACTTGGTGACGTATCACACTCGCTGGTAAGAGGCGGAGGAGCCCCTTTCCTGGTGAAACAGGTCAGGTCAGGAGGGTGTGTCTGTTTTTTTTTTTTTTAAACACTCCTTAACTGCATTTAATATATTCCTAAAATCTGCGTCCAGAATTTGAAGACATTGCATTCTGTAGCCTTGAAATGTACTTGGCCTTTGCTCATTCCCTCCATCATCAGGACTAGGTTCAGGCAAACTGGCCCTTTGAAGTTTATATTTAGTCCAGCGACTCACGGAAATGGACTGAACTTTTCAAGTACTATGAATTCAAAACCCAGACGTGCGGAGAAAGGAAGATGCTGATAGAATTCTCTGACATGCCCAGAGCTGCCCAGCCGGCAGCAAAAATAAACTTAAGTGTGTTTAACACAAAGTCCAAGGACACGGGGCTTAGGACACAGGCGGCAACTCCCCCCACGCTCCCTGTTTTGGCTTCCTGGCTGGCAGCTCCCCTGATGTGGGCGACACCGCCCACTGCAGACGCTGCTTCTGCTTCACCCCAACAAACCAGTACCTCTTCCTCCGGCCAAACTATTTGATGGGGTCAGCCTCACCGTCCACTCTAATACTCTAACCTCCTCTTGCTTCTTGCTGATGTTCTTGTGAACGGTGTTTACTGTGAGGTCAGCTATCCTAAACTTAGTATGCAAGAGAGGACAGTGGCTGTGTTTTCCAGACTTTGGGGGCAGCTCACCATGCTGACAGGTGCTGCTAAGATGAGACAGGTGAAGAACTCTTAGAGAAAAATTGCTGGGACGTGTGGGCTGGAGAAGACGAAAGGAGAAAAGGCTGCTGGCCCAAGTCAAATAAATGATAGCACCTGTTGGAACAGTGCTTTATGTGGGGCCCACACCAGCCCCATAAGGGAGAATGATCATTACCCTGATTTCACACGTGAAGAAACTGATACTCAGATTAAGTAAATCACGCCTGGTCACATGGACGAGCAGCAGAACCAGCACTTGAAGGAGGCGGGTCTGTCAGCTTCCCGACTACAGGCTCCTGCCAGCTGATTATTCGTCTGACTCCCAGCCCCAGCCCTGTGACCTGTGAGCTCCACGGAGGCCAGAGCGGAGGCCAGAGCGGCACCATGGCCTTGCTGGTGCCGGTGCCAGGCACACAAGGAAGCCCTCAGTGTTCGCTGAACAAATGATACAGCAAGTGAGGCTGAAAGTGAGGCTTATTCCTAAGCACTTACAGTTGAGCTCGTTTTTCTCAGAGTTGTCTGAATTTGCTTTGTGAGCTTCTTTTTTTATATATTTATGGCTGGTGCAGAGGAATGAGATTCTGATGAACAAAAAAGATGTGCTGGATGGTGGAAATACCTAGAAAATGTTAGTCTCTGTGGCTTTCCTCAAATGGAACAGCGGTTACTTTACCTCCCCCCAGACCTATCACAGGGTCTTCAAACCCTGCAGCAGGCCTTGAAGAAGTGGGGCACCCCCCCCACCGCTCCCCAGGCAGGGCCTTCTCCAGTGTCTCCTGATCCATCATCCCATCAATATGTATCAGCTCTGAGTGTGCAGCAAGGGGACACTCAAGGAGCGAAGTTTCCCTTTCTATGCAAATGGAATCCATCTCCTGAGTCACCGGTGGCCCCAGATGGACCAGACACCCAGCATCCGCTGTCCAGCACCAGGCCTGCCGCTGTCTCATGAAACGCCCACCACACTTGAGTTTGCCCTTTTGGACCATGAGGACGAGTCTACAGCCACTTTAGAATTGTTATAATATTGACCACTTAACAGTCTAGGTTGAGAGCCTTAAGTGAGCATAAAAATTAGAATTATTTTCCATTTCATTACCTATCAAAATATTAAAAGCCAAGAATTCGTTTACTTCACCTGGGGCCCGAGTGCTCACAATGCAACATTTGTTTCCCACAGAATGAAGTGGATATCAACCGTCACAGATAATTACAGAGGAAAAAATACTTCATGGAAACGGACTTCCACAGTCCACTGCATGTACAGAGACTGAAACAATGTGGCACCGACCGACCAGTACGGATGCCTCCTGGAAAAGGGATTATGTTTCTGCTTTATCCAAAATGATTGGTTCTCCGTTATTTTCCAGGAAAAGAATGAACTAAGGTAACGATGGCTCAATATTATGAACACTCTTAAACTTATGAAAGGCTTTATACTTATGAAGAGGCTGTGTTCCAACTGACTGCATGCCTACTCCTGGAATCTCTGAACACACTCCTGCATAAAAATAGTGTCCCACAGCTGGGTGGAGCCAGGCCCTCCCAGAGGAGCCGCAAATGCAGCGCTGCTGGCCCGGCGGCACCACTGCGTCAAGCCCGCAGGAGGAACGCTTCCGCCCGCAAATGCACCCAGAACTCCATGCCCGACAGCGAGCCGTGGGTCCCCACACCCACAGAAAACAGGGCTGCTCCTCCCAGTCAGTTGGGGTTTTCCAAAACCCCACCACCAGGCCAGCAGCGGGACGCAGATAAAAACACGGGAAGAGGGGGTACAGAGGAGAGGGGAACAGGGGCCCAAGTGCCCCTCAGTGGATGGTTCTGCCAAATGGACCCCCCGGGCCTTTCCTTCTCTTTTCTCTCAGGAGTCTCTGCACGTTTTGTCCTGGCTGGAGGTTTTCTTTACACGTGGGTCCCCGTAAACACAAGCACTTCCCCAGCCTTGCCTCTTCCTTCCTGGCCCAAAGGGACAAAATGTCCTTTTAAGACTTTGCCCCCCAACTGGCCATCAGTAATGAAAGGAAATCAACCAGGAGCAGAAGGGCTCTCCTCCCCTGCAATCCCGTCACTGTGTCACCCAGGTGTCTTTCATTCACGGCACCTCCCCCCAAGGCCCCTGCTGACCACGGGGCACAAAGACGAATGAGAGGAGAGCCTGCCCTCCTGGGGCTCTGGCCGACAAGACAGACAAACCATATTCGGGTTGGAACAGCAGACACAAGCTGTCACGTCTAGCATGTGGCCAACAGCACAGGCTCTAGTCGCCCTGTCCCCAGTGACTGGTTACGGGGCAGGGGAGCACCATCTCACACCTCTAGGTCTCCACACCTCCACCCAGAAAGGGGCAATAGTAATTGCACCAGACAGAGCTACTGTAAAGATTAAAGGAGATAAAAGCTCCCAGCATAATGCGGAACACAGAAAAGCATTTCCTGAATCACAATTATTATCATGAAAGTGGTAGGAAAAGACAGGGCTTTGAGAGTGGTACCAAGGACTAAGCAAACGAAATGCATGGTGGCTACGCAGTGGCTGCACCGGAGTGGTTTAAACCGGATCTCACAGGGTGACAAGTCTGCCAGAAGAGAGGAGGAGGGGCACCCCAGCCAAGTCCTGGGGCTGCGGGGGCACTGCCACCGTACGGGCCGGTGGGTCTGGGAACTGAGAGAGATCAAGGGGCGGCTGGGCAGACAGACTCGGGAGTCACAGGAGACTGCAGTGACCCCGTAGCTGAGGAAGGGTGGGGGAGAGGAGCAGGCTCAGGTCTGGTCCTGAGCTGGACCTCTGAGAGTGATGCTCCACCTTTTGCTCATCTAGCCAAAAATAGAGAAAAAAATCAAAAAAATTTTTTGATTTTTTAAAATTGATTTTTAGAGAGAGAGAAGGAAAGGAGAGAGAGAGAAGGAAAGGAGAGAGAGAAAAAAACATCAATTTGTTGTTCCACATTTTAATGCATTTATTGTTTGCTTCCTGTACGTGTCCTGACCAGGGATGGAACCAGATATATTTTGAAGGCACAGAAGCTGCAGCTTCCTGATGAACTGGATGTGGATGAAAGAGGGAGACAGGAATCAGGCAGAAATTAGGCAGGTTTGGGGCTGGTGAATACAGTGCTGTCATTTGTCAAAAAGGAGAAGGGAAGAGCAGGCTTGGGGGCAGGAAGCAGAGGAGCAAATCAAGAGTTTGGTTTTAGCCCTGGCTGGTGTAGCTCAATGAACTGAGCACAGGCTGCGAACCAAAGGGTCGCCAGTTCAATTCCCAGTCAGGGCACATACCGAACTGGAGGTGCCTCTTAGGTACCCAAGCAGAGATGTCAGCTAAGGCAAGTGCCCAGGGAGAAGATGGGACTAGATATAGGGTCAGACGCACTTCCAGCACAGGGAGGCTGTTTGTACGCCTGAGGCAAGGCAAATCCCCTAGGGACCGAGTGGGTGAGATGAGGTCTGAGGGTTCAACCAGCAAAGGTGAGTAAGAAGAAACAGCCTGGAAAGAGGACACTCAGGAGAGGACGCGGTCCCCACAGCCGAGGAACAGCTGGGTGCAGGAAGGAAGGGGTGGTCAGCGGGTGAGTGCTGCTGAGGGGTCACGTGAAAGAACTCCTGAAATGGCCCCTGGGTGAAGGCCACTGCCTCTGAGACAGGCAGCGGAAACAGGACGGAGGTGGGAGAGAAGGCAGGTTATGCACGACTCTGTTGGAGAAACTTGCTAGGAAGGAGAGCGGAGAGTGGCCGCTGCGGCCGCAGGGCACTGGGAATAAAGGAGACGTGTTTTCAGGTGTGAGGTATTAACAGCATGGCTGTGTGCCGAAGGGGACCAACGATGCAGCAGGGGCTGGGGAGGGGACCCAGGGGGCTAAGAAAAACGTACATCAGGGAGAAGAAAATAAATGCTTCAAATGGCTTGAAAAGTGAAATTCTTTAATTCTAAATTAAAGAATTTAAAGAAATTTAATTCTTTAATCAGCATTATACAAAATGCTGATTTTAAAAAAAGGCTATTCCCTTTCTAACTTTCGAGAATTAGAATGATCCTAGTAAATAAGTAAAAGAGATCTTAAAGGCATATATGTAGTTATTAGATGTTGGTCCAAAGCCAAAATGAAAAAAATAATTTGAGAAATTTCATTTCAACACACAAAGAGTTTACCATAAAAATCCCACTAAAATGGCATCTTTCATAGAATTTCCCTTTCCAGATGACACAGTACGGCTCGAGATCCAAACTTCACACTCGCGGTTTCCCGCGGTTTCCCACAGTTCCCTGGGCCGGTCACACTTACAGGCTGCACTGGTTCAGTCTGTAAAACCTGTGCCTCGCGACACACAGTCTCCACACGTACTTCGCTGTTTCCATGTCTTCCTAGCAAACAAAACATGCATAAAATAAGCGAAAGCACATTTACAACTGGCTACCAAGCAAATCTGAGGACAAGACATAACTGGATGACGTATTATATCAAGTCACTTAACACGCTGTGATTCTTTCATCTCTAATACCGTGTCTTCATAGAGTGCTATAATTAGGTATGAAGACAGAAAATCTATTCTAACAATGTGATTCCTGCTTTAAACAAGCTCAATATGACTTAGACATTTAAAAATTATGAAAATATCAACTTTTATTTTAACAAATAGATAACTCAAAGACATTTTCAAACAAAACATTTGACTCGGCAACTCAATACTGCCTTTGTCAAGACAGCAAAAGCAAATAACTGTGGAATAACCTTTCTATTGAGCCATTCATGTGTCAATGGAAATTGAGCCATTAGTGCTTACCTCCCCCCTTCTTAGTCCCTTAAGTTTAATTTAAAGACCCTCACGATCAGGCAGTATTGATTCAAGGACTCATTCATTCAACAATATTATCTGAGCAACCGCCTTTGCCAAAGGTACTATTATGATGAAAGCGACCTTATGCAAAATGTTATAAAATCTTACATTTTATAAAACTGTAAAACATTATAATTTTAATGCCACTCCCCCCCCCATACACACACAAATGCTAACTTGTTAAGGCTCAGAAAGTCACCCATGCGATTCCTACTGTCCACTCACAGTCTGAAACTGGACGGTCTCCTCTTTGCTCGTCAGCTCCAACGCAAAAAAGGACTTGTTGTGGGACATGTTAGCAATGTCGTGCCACCTGCAGAGCGACAGAAGATGGCAACGTGAGTGCTCACGTTTGCACCAGGAGACAGATTCCTTCTTGAGCCTGATGCATAAGATACTGTGTGTTCATTATTTCAGAAAGAAAACCTGTTTGAATCAGCTGGCATGTGTTTTCTAGCTGAAGCGACAACACCTAGCTGCAGAAAGTAAATGCATACATACCAAATATGGCCAAAGAGTGTCAAAATGTAAAACGTATTTACCCTCACTTGCCACATTAATTGAATCAAAGATCCCTATATTAGCTGGTGGCCAGTGCCTCCTTTCTTCATTCAACAAACACCTTAAAGGGCTTGTGTTATAACAAGGCCAGAAATTCTGTTAGGTCTCAGGGGTACTAAACTCAGTAAGGCACAGCACTTCCCTAGAAGGGGCACAGTTGGAGGGTGAGGGGAAAAAGAGAGAAGCACTCAAGTACTGTTAAGTTTTGTAGGCTGGATAAGATAAAACCCAAAGGTAGAGGAGGGGTGCTCTGACAAGCTTTAGGGTGACGATGAAGTTCAAATGCTAGGAACCCAAAGAGTCAACTATTCTATTCTGGATGTGTTCACCAGTATTCAAAATCCTACCCTGAGCTTTGTAACTATTTTATGATGGTTAGACTTTATATAGTAATATTTGATTTTATGATATAACTGTAATTTTATAAATGGGAAAATGGGTCTGGAAGAAAAAATTTTACTGCTCTTCATTATATTATTTAAATTTTATTAAAATAAATAAAATTAATTTGTAGTGATCCAATATGGAACTGTTAAATCTGAAGATTATGAGTATCATATTAAAGACAACTTTTGAAATTCCCATCCGTGAGATGAAGGGAGTTAGCCGATGTCTCCAGTTTCCATGTGGCCCTTGGGGCCTGTTAGGTCTGGCCCTTCCAGTGGGGTCCAGATCCCGTCCCCACCCCCCAACTCAGCATACTGGGAACACTTAACGAGCCCACGACAGCAATGGCCCAAAGGGAGAGCCAGTGCCGTCCAGTCTAGGAAGGGGAATCTGCTCCCCAAGCCATGTTCACTCACTGTGGTCATAATCACCATGAGAACTCAGGACCCCAAAATAAAGTAAAGCAAAGAAAATGAAGGAAGAGATGCCTGCTTAGGGAAAAAAAATCTGGAGAGGAATAACTAGTCCCCAAGAAGAAATAGTAGGGATAGTTTAGGAAGCTTAAATGGGGTGGAAGTGGAGGGATTTATTTTTAAAGCAAAGTAAGGGGAATAAAAGAATCTGTTTAATAAAGGGATAAATAAATGTTAAACACAAAGAAACCAAAAAACAAAACTGATATAATGTAAACTTTTAATTTTTCATCAAGAGATGACAGAATCTAATAGGGAGAATCTCAGTAAAACTGCAAATATTTCTATGAAATGACACTTTAAATTTTAGCTTATGACTTTTGACCTCCGCCAAGATGGAGACGTAGGTGGAGGAACCACCTTGCCTCTGTGCACAACCAAATCTAAGAACAACTATTTTTCACAACAATCACAACCAAGCCACATGGAAAATCGAAAATACAGAGTCCAAAGACAACTAAATACTCAGCTAAACCGGTAAGAGAAGCGAAACCAGCAGCAGAGCAGGTTGGCAAGAAAAACTCCCCGAACAGGTGGTGCCCGGCGCTGATCGCGGGCTGGCTACCAGAGCGCACAGGGAAGAGGCGGGGGGGGGGGGGGGGGGCTGTCTCGGTCGGTCGCGCGCATCTGCGTGCGGAGAAACCAGTGAGAAGGGAAGCTTGCGCGAGGCAGCAAGCTCGCACAATTCCGATCTGATAAACAAGCCCAGGGCGAGTAGTGTGACTGGATGGGCTGGGCTAGCGGAGAGGACCGCCATTGCTCCCTCTCTGACCCCGCCCCCACATATAGCGTCACAAACTAGCGACCTGGGTCGCCCCGTCCTGGTAAACAACTAAGGCTTCGCTCCGATTACTTAACGGCACGAATAGACCAAAAATGGCTCTACGACAACTCAGAGCCTCAGAACCCATAGATCTAAGCGATGAAGAAATAGCCAGTCTTTCAGATGCACAGTTCAAAACACTGGTTATCAGGATCCTTACAGAACTGGTTGATTTTAGTCACAAATTAGAGAAACATATGGAAGCTAAACTAATTGAAATGAATGGTAATAGAAAGGAAACCAATAGTAATGGAAAGAAAATTGGGACTCAAATCAAGGGAGTGGACCACAAGGAAGGAAAAAATGATCAAACAGAAAAGAATGAAGAAATAAGAATTCAGAAAAATGAGGAAAAACTTAGGAACCTCCAGGACATCTTTAAACGTTCCAACATCTGAACTATAGGGGTACCAGAAGGGGGAAAGGCACAGCCACCAGTGGAAACTTATTTGAACAAATAATAAAGGAAAATTTCCCCAATCTGGCAAAGGAAATAGACTTCCAGGAAATCCAGGAAGCTCAGAGAGTCCCAAAGAAGTTGGACCCAAGAAGGAACACACCAAGGCACATCATCATTACATTAGCCAAGATTAAAATGAAGGAGAGAATCCTAGAAGCAGCAAGAGCTAAGGGAACAGTCACCTACAAAGGAGTTCCCATCAGACTGTCAGTGGATTTCTCAAAACAGACCTTACAGGCAAGAAGGGGCTGGAAAGAGGTATTCCAAGTCATGAAAACCAAAGACCTACAACCAAGATTGCTCTACCCAGCAAAGTTTTCATTTAGAATGGAAGGACAGATATAGTGCTTCTCAGATAAGACCAAATTCAAGGAGTTCATCAGCACCAAGCCCTTATTATATGAAATGTTAAAGGGACTTACCTAAGAAAAAGAAGATAAAAAAGATGAACAGTGAAAGGACAGCAAACTCACAGTTACTAACAACCACACCTAAAACAAAGGCAAACTAAGAGGATAGCTAGATCAGGAGCAGAACCATAGAAATGAAGATCTCATGGAGGGTTAGCAACAGGGGAGTGGGAGGAGGAGAAGGGAGGAGAAGGTACAGAAAATAAGTAGCATAGACAGTAGATAGAAAATAGATAGGGGGGAGGGTAAGATTAGTAGGGGAAATACAGAATCTAAAGAATTTGAGACACATGTTCATGAACTAAAGGGGGAAATGGTGAGGGAGGGGCATGCAGGGTGGAGGGGAATGGAGGGGGGGAAATAGAGCAAATGTAATGGCATAATCAATTAAAAAAATGAATTTTAAAAAATAAAAAGATTGAAAGACATGGCCCTATTTACTATCTTTAAGATATAAACCGGAGCCCTGGCTGGTGTGGCTCACTAGATTGAGCGCCAGCCTACAAACCAAAGGGTTGCTGGTTTGATTCCCAGTCGAGGGCACATGCCTGGGTTGCAGGCCTGGTCCCCAGTAGGGGGCGAGTGAGAAGCAACCATGCATTGAATTTCCCTCCCTTTTTCTCCCTCCTTTCCTCTCTCTAGAAGTAAATAAATAAAATCTTTTAAAAAGAAAGATATAAACTGGAACACAGAATACTGAAAATGAAATTTAAGCCACCTGCAATTTCATTTTCAGCATCAGCCACTATGAGCACATCGCTACATATCTTTTCCGTTTTCCTTACTCCATACCTTCTAATATTTCCATAAATGAATAGTGTCATTTTTTTATAATCAGTAAAAAAAAAAACATTACAAAACATCACTGAAATCTGCTTAGATGTTATTATTTTAGGAATTATGATACATTAACTGGAGTCAGAGAAAGCCCTAGATTTTCCACAAGAAATAATAGCCCTAGAAACCAGAGCTCCAATGAAAAGTTCACATCGTAACAAAGAACACGTCCAAATAGTAAGAAAAGGGGCACGCTCTTTTAAGCATGTCCTAAGTGGACCATCATTGTAAGCGCCATTTTCTGCTTTTTTGGTTTTTTTTTTTTTTTTTTTTTTTTTTTTTTATATTTTTTTATTTGTCTTTAGAGGGGAAGGGAAGGAGAGAGGGAGAGAAATAATGTATGTGCCTTTGATGAGCAGGGCTGCTTTTTTGGTTTTGAAGAAGGAGGCTTACAAAGAGAACCACTGCGGCCAGGGCTGGTTTATTCCAGGGAGGGCATATTTCCATTTTCCAGGGAGACCTTGGGAGAGACTTATAAACAATATAACCAGCACAGGGACTAAAAAATACCATCATCAGGAGTCCCAGGGAATGTACAGAATATGCGAGAAAAGTACCGAAACAGGGACTTCCGCCAAGATGGAAGCGTAGGAGGAAGCACTGCGCCTTCTCACACAGCCAAGTTTAAAAACAACAAAGTTTTAGCAACAAAAACACAGCCAAACCACAGAAAATTGAACTATATGGAAGTCTGACAACGAACTCTTCAGCCAAACCTGTAAGAGGGGCAGAGCCAGCAGCAGAGCGGGGTCGGGCAGGAAAGATCAACCGGACCGACCAGGGCCGCAACCCAGGCGCGCCGGCAGCCGCAGTTGGATCCCAGGTGTGGAGTAGCAGCGGGTGGACCCACTGAGGGCGCAAGGCGGAGGACCCACTGAGGGCTGACCACAGTCACACACTTGAGCGCAGATAAACCGGTGAAGGAGCGAAGCGGTGAGACAGACTGTGCAGGCCCCAGTGGCGGCAAGTGGAAGAGAAGACCGCCGTTGTCCCTCTCTGACCCCGCCCCCACGTACAGTGTCACAAACCAGCGACCCCGCCCCCACGTACAGCGTCACAAACCAGCGACCTGGGTGGCCCCGCCCTGGTGAACACCTCCTCGTACATAACAGGCACGAACAGATCAAAACATGGCTCAAGAACAACTCAGAGCCCCAGAGCCAATAAATCTAAGTGATGAAGAAATAGCCAAACTCTCAGATACACAGTTCAAAACAATGGTGATCAGGATGCTCACAAAACTGGTTGATTTTAGTCACAAATTAGAGGGACATATGAAGGCTAAACTAATTGAAATGAATGGAAATGCACAGGAAACCAATAGTAATGGAAAGGAAACTGGGACTCAAATCAAAGGAGTGGACCAGAAAGAGGAAAAAAATGACTAAACAGAAAACGATGAAGAAACAAGAATTCAAAAAAAATGAGGAGAGGCTCAGGAACCTCCAGGACATCTTTAAACGCTCCAACATCCGAATTATAGGGGTACCATAAGGGGAACAGGAACAGCCACGAGTGGAAAACTTATTTGAACAAATAATAAAGGAGAATTTCCCCAATCTGGCAAAGGAAATAGACTTCCAGGAAATTCAGGAAGCTCAGAGAGTCCCAAAGAAGTTGGACCCAAGAAGGAACACACCAAGGCACATCATAATTACATTGGTCAAGATTAAAATGAAGGAGAGAATCCTAGAAGCAGCAAGAGCTAAGGGGATAGTCACCTACAAAGGAGTTCCCATCAGACTGTCTGTGGATTTCTCAAAAGAGACCTTACAGGCAAGAAGGGGCTGGAAAGAGGTATTCCAAGTCATGAAATCCAAAGACCTACATCCGAGATTGCTCTACCCAGCAAAGCTTTCATTTAGAATGGAAGGGCAGATAAAGTGCTTCTCAGATAAGATCAAATTCAAGGAGTTCATCATCACCAAGCCCTTATTATATAAAATGTTAAAGGGACTTATCTAAGAAAAAGAAGATAAAAAAGATGAACAGTGAAAGGACAGGAAAGTCGCAGGTATTAAGAACCACACCTAAAACAAAAGCAAACTAAGAGGACAGCTAGATCAGGAGCAGAACCATAGAAATGGAGATCACATGGAGGGTTAGCAACAGGGGAGTGGGAGGAGAAGAAGGTACAGAAAATAAGTAGCATAGATGGTAGGTAGAAAATAGACAGGGGAGAGGGCAAGAATAGTATGGGGAATATAGAATCTAAAGAACTTGAGACACGTGGTCATAAACTAAAGGGGAGGAATGGTGGGGGAGGGGGTGTGCAGAGTGGAGGGGAATGAAGGGGGGAATAGAACTGTAATGGCATAATCAATAAAACATATTTTTTAAAAAAGGAAAGTACCGAAACATCACAGGAGGCCTTCCATTCTTGTGTTTCACGAAGATGCCTTCAAGACATGCGCCAACAGCTATGTCACTGCCTTGGCTGTCCTACAAGGAAAGGAAACACTCGGGCAGCAGATGCAGAGAACCACAGCCACTCCTCGTTCCCTGAACTTGCGCCCATGAAATGTTCAGACAACATACAGGATGACTATTCTGAAGGGGAAAAGTCAAAGTTACAAATGAACCCCCTTGCAAATATGTGTGAGTACAGGAAGAGATGGACTCCTTAAGGAACTCTCTTTCAAGAGCACTCAAAAGAACACACTGCAAAACACAAATATGTTTTACTTCAAAATCTTGGCCACAAGGACCTCAGCTTTTAAATTTCCAGCCTTTCTCATGTCTTCGGCCTGTGCTCAACAGGCCCCTGGAGGCCTCCCCGGTGCCCCCTCGGAGTTGCCCAGGCTGACTTTGGAAAGGCCCAGCCTTCGCGTCCCACTCACCTTCACGTCCCACTCACCTTTGCAGGGTAGCTCTCCTCCCCGTAGCCTTCCATTCTTTCCACCTCCTGCATGAACAGCATTTCGGCATCAGGAGCTGGAAGCCCTCTGCAACCCAAAGGATGTTGGTGAGGTTAGTCACAAAACTAAAAACAAATGAAAACAACAAAAAGAAGCTTTTCTAAGACACTACAGACAAATTTGGCATAAAACACTATACATACTTCAAGTTTCTAAGCATCTGTAATTGCTTGTATCAGTCCATCAATATCAACTAAAAACTGACTACATGCAAAGCACTGTGGGCCACTGAGGTTTAGTTACAGTAGATTCTGCCCCTTGTACCTTAGGCAGGCAAGGGGAACGCAGGGAATAAGACAACCACCTGAAACGTCTTCAGTAAAAGCTAAAATTCTCTCTACACCACTGAGTAACAGCTTATTCCCCAAAGTATCGGGCAATACTAAGCATCGTGTGCTAAATGCCAAATGATGAAAGTGCAGGAAATAATGAGTTGGAGGATGGAAATCCTTTTTAGCTCCGGTGACAGAATTGCAAGGGAGGGTGGGAAGGTGGTGCGGGTAAAGAAAGTGCTCAACTGCATGGACACCTGCCTCTCCAGCCTCGTCTTCTGCTGCTCCCCCACACCCAAGGGGCACCCCACACTGCCACCATCCCAAAGTCTGCATTTCTGTGAGTACACCATGTTCCCTCATGCCTCTGGGCCTTTGCACACACTAATCCCTCTCCCTGGTCTACCTGTCACTCATCTGTGCACCCGGTCAATCCCTAATATCCTTCAAGACCTTGCCTATGCATCTCTCACTCCTTCTCTATCCCTCGCTGTGAGCCCCCCGAGTCTAAGTCAGATGCCCCCACTCTGCGCAGGCCCACCACATTTCTCCCACTGCTCCTATACTCTTTTCTTAGAATTATAATTACTACCACAGCCGGTAGTCCTGCCTGCCCCTTAGACTGCAACACAGGAAATACATTCTCCATGGCAAGGGACAGTTCCATTTATCTTTGTGCCACTCCATCCAACACTCCACCTCACAAGAACAATCATCGCAAACTATCTTCTAAGGGGATGAACAAATGAATGAATGAAAGTAACAAAAGACAAGTGATGGGAGTCCAAGGGATTAATTGTGCTGGGAAAACTTGGTTCATCTGGGACAGCAGAAGGTAAAGCTGGAAAGGCAGGATGTAACAATTGACAGGAGGCCTTGAATCCCAGGGGTAGAGAGCTCAGGCTAGTGAAAAGCAAGAAAAGATTCATGAGCATCTGAGAAAGGGGGTGGAGGGATAGATAAGAGGAAAGTGATGTTTTAGAAGATTAATCCTTTGTGAGCAAGTGTATGGATTTGCGTGGAGAGAGACTAAAGGTTATTTTTAATGGGAGGGGATGAACAATAAGTTATAATTAGACAGACCTGAGTTCAAATCCCACCTCTACCACATGTAACTTAGGGCAAGCTATTTAGTCTTTTTGAGCTTGGCTTCCCCAATCTGTAAGGAGATAATAACATTTACCTTAAAGAGTGGTCATAAGAATTTAATGATACGTCAAGTACTTGGAACTGTGTGGTATTTGGTTTAGAGGAACACCCAGAATTCTCTAGGAGAGGGTTTTTCTTACAGACTAATACAGATTCACAATCAAAGAAAGTCACGCAATAAGTGCTATAGCTCGGAGCACAGACAGTGTCCCTGGAAGATAGAGACACAGCTTCCAAAGGTGTGCGAGGATGGAAGAAGCCTGCACTCGCTGCATCGCAAAGAAAACACATCTCTCCAGTCTTGAATGGGTCTACAAAGGACCTTTAACACGCGGGGTGGCGGGTGGACGCCCTTCAATGACTGGCTGCTTTGGACGTTCTCGGCTTCCTCGCTGATACAACGTGGGCAATAAACGAGCTAATATGCGTAAGTGCGTGGACCAGCACTTGGCCCAGACCGAGTGCCACGAAAACGTCGGGGACTCACAGTGGTGGCTATAGACTGAAGTGCGTCAATGCTGATTTGCCAAGTTCAAACAGGCATTAGTTTCATACTATTTCCACGCCTCGTTTTCGTAGCATTACCTGTATTTCTGGTGCAGCAGGGCCACTTTTTGGGTTGCTTCTTCCAATACTTTTTCATCCTGTAACCACCCCTGAAGAAAACAAACTGCAGTGAGTATGTAAACAAGTCACCCCAAATTTCTTGGGAATAATCATTGCGACTGACTAACCAACTCGTGTCACCCCAAGTAGGGCTGGTATTAATATGAGGGCACTTTACTTAAGTGCGTAATCATGCTCTTTCTAAGGCAGTAAGTGGCTTCTGCTCAGGAGCCAAACGCCTGCCCTGCCTTCTCAGTTTGTCCCAGAGAAAGTTCCAGGGGAGTCATTTCAGGATGGTAACGCCCAACAGCCAGTGTCGAGCCCAGCACAGCAAAGGCGTCCGTGTGTCCCCGGCGGGCTGTGCGGACGACAGAGCAGAGCCGTGCCAGTGCCCAGTGTCTCTGGACTCGGCAGCGACGACCAAAAAGCAGAAGGCAGTGTCATTTTGTCATCTACTTTGTAAGCTGTTGATGAGAAGCCAAATGTACTTCAACATAATTTTGTGGGGTTTCAAGCCTTCGGTTCAAAGCAAAGCCTCTGTGTGGTTCCTCAGAAGCTGGACACGAACCCCTCCCTTTAGACCCACAGCCAAAAACATGAGACAAATTTGTCTGGCTATGGGCCCTTCAGTGTCCGTGGGTTGATCAAGACCCAAAAAACGCGTAACAGCAAAAGCATTTATATTTGAGTTGTTCATAAAAAGGAACTGGTTTTAACACTGCAGTAGGTGTACCATATGGACTTCATTTCAGGGATTATTCAGGGTATGGAAACTAACTGTTTACACAAAGGCTGAATGTCAAAGGGAGGCTTACCACAGGAAATAAGGCGAATTTCTGAAGAAAGTCCTGGGATTCATACTGATCAAAGTCACCAAAATCAGCTATGCAAAATGACAAATATTCACGTCAATTATGTTTAATTTGTGTAGCAAAACACGCACAACTAAATTCAATATGTGATATATAGATGGTGTGTTTATAATTCAGAAGTCAAATTTGCTTTACAGCTATAAAGTATATGTTTAAAAAATATCATTTTGAAAAGTTAGGTAGATTCACGTGTCTCTTGACTAGGGAAAATGTCTGTTAATAAAATGAAAAAAGCACAAACTATATGTAACATGATCTCATTTTTACCATTAAAAAAACCAAACATAACTACCTTACTTGTGCACAGAAAAATGTCAGGAAGAAACCAAAGTGTTCACAGTAGTGATTACCACCAGGAAATGGAATCAGATCTGAGTATGTTACTGCAGGACGTACCTGCTTGGAAATTTGTGGCTTTAAAATAAATTGCTAGTTCAACAACTACCAAGTTCATGAAAAACTAAGTCTTCAAGCCAAAGATGACACGTAAGAAGATTCAGAGCACCTAGAAGGAAGGTAGTTCCATGTGTATTAGGCATTTGTTTGTCTAGAAATGGTGAGTGCCTCCATGCTGGCTACTAGCTGAAGGAATTTTATAAATACTCTTTCTGATTAAATTTCAATCCCCCAAATTAAATACCAGTTATCATTTGAAATAATGCCCCCACGAGGAGTCTTCCCAAACTCTGGGTGCTTATATATCCACATAAATGCATACAGATTGGACATGTGAAAAGTGACAGAACTCAACAATTCAAAAAAATGTTCATGGAATGCAAAACTGTATCTACTATACTGATGATGCTCTACAATCCAGGACAGCCGTTTAAGGAGCCAGACAAATGGTGTATGCCTGAAGTATAAGTAATCATAACCTCGCCAACCTCACTGTCTGGCTGAGCTTTCTCCCTAACATATTAGCTAGCGGCAGATCCTTGAACTAGAAAAATACATCATGTGTTAACTGCTGTGTGGGTGGGGGTGGGGGCGGGGTCCTCTATTTTTGGTCTGTTTCCCTGTGGACGTATGATAACATGCTTATCCTCCCAAAAGTCTCAATTCATTGAAGTAATCCACATTCATTTTCCCCACAAGGAAGCTCCTTGGATCAAAGAATAATACTCCACTAATATGTTAACACTACTATAGAAAGTCAGTTACTTTAAGAATCCCTTGCTCTTTTCCTTGTAACACAGTTTTAACCTGGTAGCTCTAATGCATTATCAATTGTCATTATTTACCTTGAACAGCTAAGCCTGCTAACTGAATTGCTTGTTCTAATGTACAAGGAATGTTTCCTTCCAAGATATCTTTCTTCAGCTGCAGATAATACTGATACCTATAAAAAAAAATGTCAATTTGAATAAGTCAATGTCAACATTACCTTCAATTGAGACCATGCATTTTACCGTAATTTGGTAGAAGACCATAAACTAGTCAGACAAAATCTTAACCGGAGATGGTTTCAAAGAATGACAAGAACCTTCCTGACCTTATCTACACTTACAAAATGTAATCAACTTATCCTTAACTACAGTTACTTCCAATCTATAACCATGTAGGAGACACCTGGTCATGTGTCGTAAGCCCACTGTGACAGTCCCTACACACAGTTCTTGTTAGTTGGGGAAGCAGAGACTCAGTGGCCAGTCTTCACTTCACAAACTCTGACTAGGAACTTGGTAACAGGAGACTTCCCTTACTCCGGTGGAAGTTCCCTAGCCCTGGAAAACAGAGCCAGAAGAAGGTGATTCCTGATATTTCAGACCAGGATTACACTGAAATATTTCTGGATGAAATCCCAAAAAAGAATAGCTGCTAAATGTTTTTCTTCATATTCTTGTAAAACACATTTCTTTTTACACTTTCAATACGCAGGGCACTGGCTGTCGGCACAGGCCTTAGTCAAGCAGGCCTGGGGTGAATTCCAGCTCTCCAACTCGGCATTCTGCATGCATTTGAGCAAGTCGTAATCTGTGGATTTAAACCGTCACCAGCAAAATGGGGATGCTGTCATCTTCCCAAGGTTGAACATACTCAAGGAATATAATTTAGAGCTTTCAGCACAATACTCGAACACAGCTGGCACTCAGTAAGCCATATTATCATCACTATCAGTAATCATCTACTTTAAGCCAGTCACTAGAATTTCATCTGTTACCACTTCTCTGTCTTGGTAAATCTCTACAGAGGAGACTTATTCTGCCTTCCATTTACTAATTCACTGCACAGGTGATTACTAGGACCTACTATGCATCCAGCAGAGCTCTAGATGCTGGGAATATGATGTGAAATGAAGATCCACTGACTGCCAATACAGTCTACAGAAATAATGCCTTGAGAAAATATAACACACACACCTGAATTCAAAACTGTTTAAACCGAAGAATAAAAGAGACAAAGAACCTGCACGTGTTAATTCTAAAGCCAGCATTCCATAAACTTGCTGATTAAAACTAAATAAAAATAGCCCTGGCTGGTGTAGCTCAGTGGATTGAGCATGGGTCTGTGAAGCAAAGGGTCACTGGTTCGATTCCCACTCAGGGCACATGCCTGGGTTGTAGGCCGGGTCCCCAGTAGGACCACACATTGATGAGAAGCAACCACACATTGATGTTTCTCTCCCACTCTTTCTATTTCCCTTCCCCTCTCTCTAAAAAATAAACAAATAAAATATTTTTTAAAAACTAAATAAAAATAGTTTAAAGTTTTATGAACTTATCAGTCAACTGTCTGACATAACATTTTTACACAAATAATATTACAATAAATAATACAATAGATGTGGTATCCCATTTTACACAACAGAAATTTTAGATAATATGCAATGAGGTAGTCTTCGCCTGTTTTTCTTGGATTAGTAACAGAAGGGTGGTGTGTAGGCATGTTTACTTTCATATTTTTAAGCTTCAGTACAGAAATTCTGGAGCAGATACACAGAGAAAACAAAGCACCAAGAGCCCCGATGGCCTGGCCAGGCAGCCTCACTGATCATCAACTTCATGCCTGACGGGTTTCCTCCATTCTCTCTTCTTCCCCACCCGGAGGGCGTTACAGCAAATCCCAGGTACATCACAGCCCCTCCAAATAAATACTTCAGCACACGTCCCCAAAAGGCAAGCTTAAACCCACCCACCCATACACACACACACGTTTAACATACCCAGCAAAAGGACCTAATAACGCCTTAATACTACCTGTACACAGTCCACATACAAATTTTCGTGATCATATCAAAATGTATTTTTAGCTTTTTTTAAAATCAGGATTCAAACAAGGTCCACAGATGACATTTGATTGTTATTTTTTAATTTCTCTGAATTTTAAAAAAGGTGCCTCCTCTTTATTTTCATGTTACTTACAGACAAAATGATGTGATTTGTCATGCAGAATTTTCCACATTCTCAAGTTTTCTCACTTGTATTCTCATGGGGTCATCTGATATGCTCATCTGTTCTCCAATTTTTCCTGTGAGCCAACTGTTAGGCACAGAGCAGCGCTGTGCAACAGAACTCCTTGCGGTGGTGAACGTGGTATAAATCTGCGCTGCCCCACGGAGTAGCCTTTAGCTGCGTTGGCCACTGAGCACTGACAATGCTGCGAGTGTGACTGTGGAAACTGGGAATGGCCCCAGGAAGGAACACGCCGTGGCAGAGAGTGAAACCGTGCGTGTGGCATGTGAGTGCAATGGCTACAACATCTGCAGAACTCGGACGTTACCCAGTAAATGGGAAGAACATGCTGAGGATGGTGGAACAGTAAGAGAGAAAGACAAGTCTTTGGAGACTTTGTGGAGCTAGCATATTAGCTCTACATGGCCAACCTCTCACTTCTTTTATGGGAGAAGTCAAAGGTATTTGGGGTTTTTGTTATGTATAGCCATACTTATACACCTGGTACAACTTCTCTATCAGGTTCTGCTGCACCAAACCAATGTGCAGTCTACTGGTGGAAGCTACCAGTGTCCGTCCATCTCAGCCCTTCCTGCAGCTAATGCCTGTGTTCAAGTCCACATTCCACACTAACGCCTAGGTTATGGCAATGCACACTCCTAACTGGTCTCCTGCCTATGGTCTCGCCACCTCTAATCTACCGTCTATGATGCGTGCTCTCTGTAAAATGCAAACATCATCGTTCCACTGTTAAAATTCAAAAATGTCTTTCCTCACTGTACCATGACTTTATGGCTAAAACACTCCTATTTTTCCAATCTCCTCTTTTTTCTCTAGGTACTATCTGAAATTCTCTGAAAACACCAGTCCTCCTACTTAGCACACGCTATTCCCTCTGACTAGAAACTTTCTGCTCATGTCAGTTAATGAGATGACTTCTTTTCTTTCCCTGTTCACGCTCCCCATACCCAACCCCCAGGAATCCAGTGCTTCAATGAAAGCCTTTACTGTCATCACAGACCATCAGTGTTTCCTTACATGGACGGCCAGTTTCAGACTATGAGCAACTCCTCTGGGGCAGGAATAAAGCATATTCACGTGTGTATTTACCTCCCACTGTAACCAACATAGTTCCTACGTCATTACCTCCTTATATCTTCAATAAATGTTTAAATAAATGAGTCAACGTGGTCAGGTGCTGCTTTTTCCCTCCTGGCTTCTCTTCTTTCTTTAACATTTATCTCTCAGATCTGTTTTATAGTCAGTGTGTATTTATCCCTGATTTTTGCTTCTTTGGTTTTCCATATGCTTCCAGTGATTCACCGGCAAACTCAGAACTTAGAACATTCCACAAACCTAAGGTGGTACCAGGTTCTCGCTATCTGCAGGGCACCGGGTTAGATATTGTGTAAAAGGTAAAGCTAAAGAAAACCTGGGTTTAAAACCTTTTAACGATGATAAGGTATGTGTACAAATAGCTTAATGAAAGGCTGTGGCCACTGCCATCTTATCACACATACAAGCAAATCCTGGGATGGTCTGGAGAAGGCAAAGTTCATGTGAGCCTGGAAAGCTTCATGGAGGAGGTGCCTTTCGAACAAAAATTCAGAAAATGAATAGGACTCCAGTTCATAAAGAAGTCAGAAATATCTAGGCCGCAAAGATATAAAGGCATGAGGCATGTTGAAGGCACTGCAAGTGTCCCGCTTGACTCAAAAGTAATGTTAAACAGGGTTAAAAAGATAAGTTAATGGCGGGTTTCAGAGACCTTTGACAGGTAGGCTCAAGAATCCAAATTTTATTCCATGTTTTTTGGTTTGGTTTATCTTTTTTTAAAAAAAAGGAATATTTATTCCTCTATCCCACTCCTTAACATGATCTTCCTGTTCTGCCTTTTTGTCCCTTTTAAGCGTACTTATTAGCTAAAATTTTCTGACCTTAAAAACCTCCCGCCTCTCCTCCCCCTCCCATGTGGCGACACAGTCTAGCTACTGGGGTCATAGAGCTGGAAGAATGCTGTGGCACATTTTCTTGAAGAATGAACACAGATTTGGTGATTAACATTTTTTAAAAATTCCTCTCTCGTTTCAGTGCTAAAAGCTCAGAAACAAATCAACACCAGAAGCACTCAGAGCCACGGTAAAACAGTTTCCCCTTAACCATTCCTTCTCACCCAGAAATAGTTACATGCAACATGCAATAAAGCATTCAGACATACCACATACCAGACCCTTCGTGCAATGGTGTGGCTAAAAGTGTGGGGCGGGAGGGCAAAGTTCAGCCTTATCTCCTGACTTCAACCTTAGGTTCCCTTTGTAAATCTCACTAGATTACTTCCTGGTATTTCTCACCTGGTAATCTCCTGCTGCAGCTGAGACACTGAAGGCACATAAAACACCACTCCGAAATAGACCGTGGGTTCCAAGGCATATTTATCCAGCTGCTTCTTCAGAGGCTTTTCTAAATCTACCCAGCGGCGCTGATTTTGCTTGTTGTAGTACCAGAGACTGAAGTAAGTGATCTGGAAAGAGGAAAAGTCACTGAAGGAGGCAGAGGTGTACAAAAGGGTCTCGATATGTGAAATGCTCTAATCCATAACCTGGGACCAAGTGACGGCGGTCTCCCATTGCTTGTCTTCGCAGAAAGGGACGATGGCAAAACATGAAGGACAAAAGAGCCAGGACCTGTGTATATCTAGATGCTACCCATGTGCAGGGAAAAGAGGCAAAAAGTCAGGGGCTCTCGTAGGCTATTTCCTAAACTCTGCACAAAAAAAACTGCCTTCACGGCCTAGACATCAGAATGCAGTGGGTGCTAAGAAATTTGACAGAAGTTTTTAACAAAAACCATATACTGAAGAAACATTTAGGCTTCAAATTATTGAAATACTAAATTTATTATAATGGATGTGTTGTAATAAACAAACCTGGGGTTCGACCTAGTAAAACTCTGAATAGACAGTTGGGTGAACCCAGCCTTTCACTACTCCAAAATTTGGCTTCCATAGGTAAAAAAAAAATTCATCTAAATATTGTAAATTCCAGTAATACTAATGCAATAGCAAAACTGCAACTCCTCTTAGCCACCAAAAGTTCATTAGGTATAAAATTAAAGCAACTGTAATGTTGTGGAGGTAAATTCTCCTCTCCCTCCTTCTCTCTCTCTCTCATACACACACAAACACACACACACACACACACACACACACACACAAATACCTAAAACAGTAAAATCACTGAAGTGTACTACTCAGAGGTTTTTAAAAAATGCCCAGACATTTCGATCTCACTTGCTGTGTAATGAAACTGTTCAGGTAAATCAATACCGACCCTGGGCTTGGTCAACCTGAAAGGGCATTAATGCACTCAAGAATTGAAATGATAGCTCCAGGCCACTGCTAATACTTACCTCCTTTGAAAGCCATTTATAGTCAAGGTAATTGCAAAAATCACTGCTTTGTTCTAGAGCCAAGGGTGTCCAACTGGCCACATGCAGACCAGGACAGCTATTAATGCAACCCGACACAAAATCACAAATTCACTTAAAACCTTTTTTGTTCCTCAATTCTCATTAGTGTTTGTGTATTTAATGCGTAGCCTAAGACAAGTCTTCTTCTTCCAGTGTGGCCCAGAGACGCCAAAAGTTTGGACACAACTGTAACAGACTCTAGAACAACACTACACAGTAGAGCTTTCTATGACGATGAAAATGCCCTGTAGCTGCCCTCTCCAGTACAGCAGCCGCTGGCCACAAGCAGCTATGGAACACTTGCAATGCAGCTAGTGGAGCTGAGGAAATGAATTCTTAGTGTTACTTCATTTTTCTGTGCAGAGGGTACTTTTTAAAATTTTATTTTTCAAGAGCATTTATGAAAACCCATAGCTAACATCATACTCAACAGTGAAAGACTGAAAGCTTTCCTCTAAGATCAAGGAAAAAAAAAACAAGTATGTCTGCATCCACGACTGTGATTTAACAATGTACTGGAAATTCCTCCCAGGTTAAAACAAAAAAAATTAAAGGCACCTGGAAAGAAAGAAAGAAACTATATCTATACACAAAAGACACGATCATGTATGTTAAAATCCTGTAGATACCCTCATCAAAACAAAACTACCAAAGCTAATAAATTCATCAGAATTGCAGGGTATAATATCAACATGCAAAGATCAGTATAGATTCTGTACATGAGGAATGAAGAATTCAAAAAGAAAACTAAGAACACATCTATTTATAATAGCATCCAGAAGTATAAACACCTAGAAATAAATTTAACCAAGGAGGTGAAAAGGCTTCTACACTGTACAATACAAAACATTGCTGACAGAAATTAAATGGAAAGACATACCATGTACATGGATTAAACACTTAATATTGCTAAGATGTCAAGACTACCCAAAGTGATCAACAGATTCTAATGCAATCCCTATCAAAATTCCAACAGCTAATGTCAAAGGAATGGAAAAGCCAATCCTCAAATCTATTGGGAATTGCAAGGGTCCCTGAAGAGCCAAAGGAATATTGAAAAAGAACAAAGTTGGAGGACTTATGCTTTCTGGTTTTAAAACTTACTACAAAGCTACCGTAATCAAAACAGCAAGGTACTGGTATATGGAGAGACATATAAACCAATGTTATGGAATGGAATCCAGAAATGAGGCCATACATCTATGGTTAACCAACTTTAGACAAAAGTGCCAAGACCATTCAGTGGAGAAAGAAGAGCCTCTTCAACAAACAGTTCTAGAACAACTGAAGTTAGAGCCCTAGGCTTTACATCATACATAAAAAGTAGCTCAGCCTCTGCACAGTCTGCCTCAGTTGGTTGGAGTGTCATCCCATTCATCAAAGAGTTGGGGGTCTGACTCCCAGTTGGGGCACCTGCCTGGGTTACAGCTTCAATTCCCACCCCAGTTGAGTCACGTATGGGAGGCAACCAATCAATGTTTTGATTGCTCTCTCTCTCTCTCTCTCTCTCGCTCTCGTTCTCGCTCTCACTCTCTCCCCCCGCCCTCTCTCTAAAATCAATAAACATGTTTTTCATTTTAAGTAACTCAAACTGGATCAACAACCTAAATATAAGAACTATAAACACTTCAGAAGAAAAAACACAGAGGTAAATCTTCACAACCTTGAATTTGGAAATGGATTCTTAGATATGACAACCAAAAGCTTGAGCAGCAAAGGAAAAAATAGGTATGTTTCGCTTCATCAAAATTAAAAACTATGTACATCCAAGGACCAAATCAAAAGAGTAAAAAGGCAAATTATATAGGAGAAAATATTTGCAAGTCATCTATCTAGTATCTAGAATATATAATAAACTCTTACACAACAACAAAAAGACAACTCAAATTTTACAAGGACAAAGGACTTGAATAGATATTATCCAAGGAACATATACAAATAGCCAACAAGCACATGAAACATGCTTCATATCATTAGTCATCAGGCAAATGGAACTCACAACCACAGTGAGATACCACTCCACAGGCATGAGGATGTGAAGAAACTGAAACCCTTACGCATCGCCAGTGGAGATGTAAAATGGTTCAGCCACAGTGGAAAACAGTTTGGCAGCTCCTCACAAGTTAAACATATCATCATCATATGACCCAGCAACTCCGCTCCTAGACATATACCCAAAGGAACTGAAAACAGGCACTCCAACATGCCTGTAGCAGGACTATTTGCAACAGCCAGAAGACAGAAACAACTCGAATGTCCATCAGTAGATGAAAGGATCAACAAATTCTGGAATACGTGTGCAATGGAATATTATTCGGCCATGAAAAAGAAGCACAGATACATACTACAATGTGGATGATTTGCAAAAACATCATCCTGGGCAAAGGAAGACAGATACAAAAGGTCACATATTGTGTGATTCCATTTAAACAAAATATGCAGAATAGGTAAATCCAGAGCAGCAGAAGTAGACTAATGATTGTTGGGGGAAGGGAATGTGGGATAACTGTTTGAGGGGTGAAGGGTTTCCTTTTAGGGCAATGAAAATGGTTTGGAACTGGAGAGAGGAGGTATTGTGAATGTATATATCACTGAATGGTTTAGTTTAAAGTGGTTAATTTTCTGTTATGTGAATTTCATCTCAAAAAGACTTTTTTTAAGGATCAGAAACACTCATAATTAAGTACAAAATTTTAAAGCTTTACTTTTAAATGCTTAAATAGGTCAAATTCAGTTTTTTTTAAACAGTTTAAGGGGGGGAAATGAACTAGAAACAGATGAGCCATGAGTTCATTGTATTTCCCGCTTCCTAATATCTATATTTCAGTCTTCACTTACTTAAAGGTAATACACACCAGGAACTATTTTTTATATACAACAAGCCTTGGTATAGACAGGCCCCTGTGTGCTTTAAATTTCAACTACTGCCAGTCATTACTTGGTGTGATAGTTTCCCACAATCATGTGTCTCCCCTTCCTTGAATCCAGATCTTCTGGGTCATGCAGGTCCTATATCATTTATGGGCTTGGTTTAACTGTAGTAAAAAATTTCCCACGAACCAGCCTTTAATTATTGACTTTCAGATGATGCCTCTCTCTACTCATCATCTAACTTCCCAGGGCCTTTCCTAATAAGAATCCATGTGGCTTCTATTTCTCCACAGCTCCGTCTACTCTCACTGGTGACCAAAGCAAGCTGACTTGACCTTTGGGAACTCCAGCGGAAGCCTCTAAATAACTGAAACTTCCAGCATCGTCTAGAGCAATTCGCAATTATCATTCAAGAGATTTTTGTGAAACTTCTTCACGGTCAGATACTTTTACATTCACTGTTTTTTTCCTGTTTTGTTTTGAGCAAACATAGCAGTAGTTTTACTGGAGTTATTTCATGATTTCTTTACAGCTGTTTAAAAATTTACCAACTACCCTCCTAAAATTGTACAGATAACTATGCCGGCTAAGTAAACTACAGGAAAAACAAAAGTTACAAGTTGCGAAACCTGGCTTCTTTACAGGCACAATATGGTTGGCTTACTTTAAATGAACCAACATTTACTCAGAGAACAAAGTGATTTAGCAATGAAGCTTTTAGTTCAGAGAAAAAGGTGGCTACAAATCTCCGAGCTTGGGTGTGTGTCCCAAATCACAGTCCTCTAAAGGGATACCAACTATTATAAGCAGGTCCAAATCCTTTCAGAATGTAAACCCTTTCCTAAGTCCCAAGTCATGTCTTGTCTAATTATTTTAAGTCTTTTCAGTTGTACTATTTTAAGGCAGAGCAGGAGGACACAGAAATTAGCTGGAGGTTTTTTAAGCTACCGAGTTTGATAAAAATTAATCCCATATAAAATTGCAACTATAATTTTACCCCGATGCTTTTCTTAGACCAGGCAGAAGTCAGAGGACGTTTCATCAGGAAACAGACGAGAGGAGACAGCACCAGATGAAGCCTATCCCAGGCAGAGATCATCTAACAAGGGTGGTTAACAAGTATTAACCTAACTCAAGCCCAGAGCTTCCTCTGCACCGAGTCTGCCATAAATAATGAAACAT